TTGGATGACAATGATATTTTGATAGAAAAACTTCTTAAATGTGGTTACTCTGAGGAAGAGTTAATGGATGGTTATTTTGAGGCAAGAATATGTGATATCCAGAGTTCACAGCAACTGGATGGAGAAAGAGAGGATCTTGATGAACTTGACATTGCAGAAAAGGAAATGCATCACTACTTATGGTCGGTTGCAGAGATGGAGAGATTGAGAAGTCTGAAGACTTAGTAGTGAGGTGGAACAAATTATTAATGGCAGAAAATATTTTTACGACAATGTGTCTTTGAATAGTTTTCGTTTCCCTCAGGATCCTAAGAAATTGCTAGTCGAGCTTTCTTTAGCAGCAATACTCTAAGCGTTTCTTCTTTTTCTTTCCGTGTGTGCGCCCCAAAAGGGGTCATGATCCCAGGTGTTCCTAGCATTTTCAATTTTGGACTCGTTTTTTTTTTTTTTACTGGGATTCATGATGTTGCACAAGATGAGTCCCAGGACTCACCATAACTATTTGTAACAAATCACTGATTGACGCACCATGTTCATCATGTTTTGCTGAGTCTTTGGCATTCATGTATTTCTCTCCAATCAAGGCCCTTGATTTTTCTGTATTTACTTCATTCTCAATCAACTCAGAAACAAATTGTTGCATATGATATTTAAAGTACAGCTGTAAATATCCTGAAGCATACTTGACCGCTGATAAACAAGCACAGGAAAACCTTTTAGTGACGAAATTCTGTTTCATTTAGGATTAATCGCCTCCTAATTTCTTAACTTATCTCTGAGCAACAAGTTCGACTTAACCGTTTTTTTAAGAGCATTCTTGTTTGTCCAGAAAGTATCCATACTTTCCCCATAAAGGATTCATTTTTTGAGAAGCAGTGCAAACAAGGAAATTTGGTGAATAATAAGAAACTGCGCTGAAGTACCTTATTCTCCATTGCATGACCAACCCATTTCAATATTGTTTTTCCTAACTAGTATGTGTTCCATGATGTATAAATAAGATGGTGAATTTTAAGGGACGGACCATTAGAAAACTTATGGTGGGGGCGAGTGAAGTACAAAAAAAATATTTGCGCAAGGGAAAATTAAGTGAAAAAAAATTCATGCATGCTAATTAACCCTAAAAAATATTCATGCTACGGTCCAAAAAAAAATTCATACAAGGAATTTGATAATGAAAAAAAATTCCTGCGGCTCAAAAATTCCCCACCCCCCCAATAACTTTTTTAATGGTCCATTCCTAAGCTTGCTAAATTTATAAGAACTGGCGTTTTTAATAATTAACAAACGTGACTTTAGGAAGGACAGCAGAATGATCACACACCGTGTTCGTGACCTTTTCTTTCTGTTCACACACTGTGTTCATGACCTTTTCTTCCTGTGTATCTCCAATTGACCAACCCATCACTCTTTCTTCAGACTTTCTACCATAGTCTTACTTGACTTTTTGTTTTTCATTTTGTTTTCAAAGTTTTGCTCAATTAATAATAATTATTAATTCAGCTATTTATTAGCCTTCTAATAATATTTTTGGTGTCTTCCTTGCTCCTTAGTCTGATTTTCCTCCTTATAAGACATTGTAATAGGGTTTGCTTCTTGCTAAAGTTTTGGCAATGCAACGCAGGTTGACAACTATATTGTCCTTCGATTTTTTTTCTTTCGATACAGTTTTTGTTTTTCTTTGTTTAATGTACATAGTTTAAATTAGACGAAGCAAATAATTTATGTGATAAAGTGTAAGATAAAGGAAGGTGTATATTGTATCAAGGACAGAATTAGCCTCAGAAAACAGCCAGCATTTTGCGATGCCACCAGTGGTTTCCCTCCAAAATTACCTCTGAGAAGCGAGCCCAGAAATTCCACACTGATGATGTGCGGTAGTGACATGCCATCAGCATGGAATTTCTGAGCTCGTTTCTCAGACCTCATTTTGCGGGGAAAGCACCAGTGGCATTGCGAAATCTTGGGTGTTTACTTAGGCTAGGATAGAATGGTATTAATGTTGTTATATTCATTTCCATTCATTTCTTTCCTTTAAAAGAGCACTTAAGGCATTTATTTGTAATAATTATTAGTATACTCCAACAAAAATCTTGGGAAAAAGCCTTTTAATATTCAACATTTGTAAACTTCCGTAATATTGATTATTTTTAATATTCCACCTGATATTATTTTTTATCAATCACCGTAATTTTTATGCCATCTTCGAAAAATTGTAATTGAGGAGGCCTAATTAACATAAGCTTTATAGTTTCCTTTAGGCCTCCTCGCCATTTCTTCCTACCTTTTTTTTTTTGGCATCTTTTTGTAATTGTAATCATGTGGCAAATAAATAAATACAAAATACCAATACAAATTATTGCTAAAAAAAATTGAAACGAATTCGTTAACTTAAAAAAGTGCAGTATAGGATTGACATCAGCAAACATGATCCAAATTTGGTCAACAGAAGCTACAAGAAGAACTAGCCTGTGTAGCTGGTGGGATTAGTGGGCGAGTGCGGTAGTTTTTGGTAGTGGAGCCAGTTGAAGATTGGGAGCTAGTCAAATTGAAATCCCGAATCAAGTTTGCGCTAGTCAAATTGATTTTCCCTCACAGGTTTGCTGCTCTTGAAAATCCCTCGCAGCATCACATGGCAGCTCTGCCGTAAAGAAACAATCCCGCCAGCTACATGTATGCAGGCTGCAAAGAACTGGCCAAAGGATTTAAGCCAATGAGAAACGGAGACATATTTTCGATGGCTTTTGATTCAGTCTTCAAGAAACTGATGTCAAGTAGGACAGTGTTGGTTATTGTTCAAAATTCATGCAAGTTTATTGATCCAATATTGTTTCACATCAATGCCTTAGTTACATTTTTTATTGAAGATGAGAAAATTATACAGTACTATTAAGAAAATGGTCATCCCTAAATAATTATTGGAACAAGTTAAAGCAAAAGTTAGAAGGCTTTGAAAGTGATATATGTGTAGTGAGCTCGTAAAGAAAATTACAGAGCGTAAAATTGCTTAAATTTTAGTGTCTGGGACAAAGAGAACTGTCTGTAATAGAGAGGTGTCCATATTACAGAGAGAGAAATTGCTTGAATTTTAGTGTCTTTGGGACAAAGAGAACTGTCTGTAATAGAGAGGTGTCCATATTACAGAGAGAGAAATTGCATGAATTTTGGTGTCTTTGGGACAAAGACTGAGAACTGTCTAATAGAGAAGTGTCTGTATTATAGAGGTGACTGTAAGGAGTTGTTTGACTGTACATTTTTTATTCTGCAATGTTGTTCTAAAAAAAAAGAATGATTGCATTAATTAAGAAAACAAGCAATAATGCAAAAATATTGTCCACATTTTGTTGTGCAATGGAAAATATTATTACTTCAGGGCTCGAAATTAACTTTTTCGTTCGGGAGCCAGCTGGCGACTAATGGAAAAATTTTGGTCGCCAGATCGTAAATTTTGGTCGCCAACTTATTTTATATATAACTTACACAAGAACACGATTTTATACGTTACTTTGCATGCAAGAGAAGTCACAACTGAAGAGCGAAAACAATTAGAAACAACACGAGTAACACTTAGTTATAAAGCTACCGTTGTTCTCAGGTGATATGTCTCTGGTCCGAAGGTGATGGTTGTCTCCAAAGTCATTTTAAATGAAGCGAAGCATAAAACGTTTTAAGTCCGTGGTTTTCATTCTGAGACAAACACGGGTCCTTGTGTATTTGCCCTTTGCTACTTCTACGAAATGCCGTTCTATATTTTCGACTTGCTTTCCTCAACGCCTTTCGCTGCCGACAAACAACGCCATGCTTGGCCCAGGCCTCTACACAACCACATTGCTCGTACCAGTCTCCGACCGGGAGGAAACAAAAATGGGCTTAGTGCAGTTTTTGGGTCTTCGTTTCCCTTTAGACAGAACGTTTTAGGAAAATAAAACCTAAAATGTTGCGGGAGTTACGAAGGCACCGTATCTGCCACCATTTTTGTTGTTGAAGTGCGCCTGCGACCCCAGTTTCGGAAGAAGCCGCTGAAACAATATGGCGCGCCCTGAACGCAGTATCGACGTGTCGAAATACATTCCATTTTTTCGATTATCTTGTAATATTCAGACATTATTTTACTGGGGACGGAAAGGTGAGTTGTATACTAGCTACCATATCCGATTGATTTCCAAATATAAAGATTTAAAAACAAAAGTTGTGTCGTGGTTTTCTTTAGTCATCGGACAAAACGCGAGTCGCCAGCTGGCGACCAGTTCTGAAAATTTAGTCGCCAGTGCTCAATTTTTGGTCGCATTGGCGACCAGTGAGTCGCAATTTCGAGCCCTGTACTTGATTACTTATTCAAAAGGCCTGTAGACAAATCAAACTTCCTAAGATAAAATTGTACTCATTAACCAAATGTTCATAACTAAAACTTCACTCAGAGTAAATATAAACGCACAGGAAAGTGTGATACCTTATTACTTGTAATATGGATAGGATATGACCATTAACACACTCTGTTTACTGCACTACTAAAAACTTTAAACGTAAAAATTCCAATATCAACTTGTACTTGGTATGATGCAACAAAAAAAAATGTGAATTGAAATAATGAGAACACTTCTCCTGTCATAAAACAAATCACTATCCTGCAGTTATTGTTAAGTGCTAAGGAAACCAACTGGGTTATCCAGTGGATAGAGTTCTATCCAGTGGAATGCTATCCATCTTTTGAACACTGAGGCCAGAATTAATTGCCTAGGAGCCCACTGCTTAAATGCATGGCTGTTCAAACACACTGTACAAAGGAAGGATAGTGCCTCTAGATCTGCCTATAAATACATTGCTGGGTAAAGTACAAATTAAAACAGCAACTACCATATTTTCTCAATCAAATGCTCATTACATATTTCTTTATACGTTGAGGGAAAAGGGCGAGATGAAGGGGGGAAAAACTTTAACAGGAAAAACATCAACTACAGGCATGAATAAACTACAGACCTGGTCCCCGTGGCCAACAAATCGCTAGAGCCAGGAGGGTTGAATTGAGAAGATATGGTCTGCATTTTCTACGTCAAGCAACTACTATGATTAACTGCGTTTTTTCTTTGAACTAGTAGGCGGACTATATATGTCCTTCATTTCTGACAGAGTCTGTAGCATGATTGTTGTTGGAACAACAATCCAAACACCATTAGCACACACATAGACAGTCCAGAAATAGAACACCTTTTCAAAACTGTCAAAAGTGGGTGGCCAGTCCTGCAAAAATACAAATCATTTATTATTATTCATTCAAAATATTTCCCAGATTCTGATTGGCTAAAAGCACACGCATAATTCCCCATAACCAGCTACTGATGACCAATTTTGGAAGAATATTGCAATTAATCAACCGATGATGCAGATTTCTTTCAGATTAATGCATCATTAATCGAGAAGACCTGGGGATGAGTTGAATATTGTTTTGGTTGTGCAAACAAACATGGCGGATGTTTCACTCGTTTCAAGAGTAAGAACTAGGCGAAGTAATGGCTAAAAACATGGCAAGAAGGAGCAAGAAGAGAACTTGAAGATGAACTTAACATCGTTGGACGTAAGCATGTGTTAGCTATGTTTTTAAGCTAGGAATTATTTTGAATGAATAATAAAACAATAATTGTTTTATTATTGAATTCAGCTTCCATATCATATTAAGAATTATGGAGATCTCGGAGGGTGTTATCCTCCTCGATCTAAATAATTCTTCATAAGATACTCAGCCTTATTCATTAATTATTGTTAAATAATTATTTATCAATAAACTGATTATCAAAATAATATTCATTCTGAATTATTGAACTCACCAAAGGAACATGTTTGAAGCCATCATAAGCCTCTCCACCACAATACAAAATGCAGCCTGTAATCTGGAAAGTTGACACCAAAATTGACATAAAATGACGCCACCATAGATCCTTGACAATGGATCTGTACCTGAGGAAAAAGAAGATAGTAGCTAAGATATCAAGTACAGAAAAAATAAGAGATTAAGAAAAATAATGGGGCTTCAGGGTGGGGAAATGACTTATTGGGTATAAGTTTTAACAGGGTTTGCAAATTTTATTGATGAGTGGAGTCAGTGTGACTTCTGCTTCACAAATTTTGGAGTCATTTTGGGATATTTCAAGTCAAGTATCACAACAAAAAAAGCCATTTTCAGACTTTCCTGCACATGGTCCTGCTCTGTATACACTAGCGTAAGGGATGCACGAAGTAGCTGTGGTGGTCTGCTGACCTGGAAGCTCAAATCCATGACGGCGGTCATCGAGTAAACTTTGATCGTAATTTACCCTCTTCCTGTTATGTCGCGCAGTATAATTCTTAAATTTCGATGATTTAATTAAGGTTTACAACGTTTACAATTAACGTAAATTGTATCTGTTGTGAAAAAGGTAGGGACAAAACTGTGTTTGTTACTGCAAATTTCTGGAGTCAAAGTGGCTCCCTGTTTGTTACTGAAAATTTCTGGAGTCGAAGTGACTCCCTCCGTAACCTCAGTGGAGTCATCTGAATTTTAACTTCAATGCTATATGGGTAAGCCTAACTATGGGTACCTGCAGGCCTTGTTTTCATCACACATTTTCCAGCAAATCATTGGTTTTCAACTAAATTGTCATATCAAGAATTGTTTGGTGTGGTAATGCTACCAACGAGCTCAAGCAACCACGTCAGAGACAGAAATTAGAACATAGAAAAAGGTAAAGGTAAAAACTCTGAATTGTGTAGCACATTTTTTGGCAGTGAGATTCCTTTGCCATCATCGCACAACTTACATGTATGCTGTCAAACTTGATCGAAATGGCAATGAATGTCATCTTCGCTTTCATATTGAATTAAGATCATCATTTCATCAATAGCGATGATCGTGACTTTTAGCCAGGCCATAGAGAGTCTAATAAGCGAGTTGGTCGTTGGTTCTCGCCCCTGCTCTGAGACATTTTTTATTCTCCAGGTGTTTCCTATCCTCAAAAAACAACTTCCAAAATCAAGTTATTTCTATTTGGAACAAACACTTTCAAGCAAGTTCTTGTATGTATTTCTGGGGTAAACAAATTACATTTTATTTTACATGATTGTAGATTTTTTTGAATCACAACAGATGTGGAGACTGATAGGGTGACATCAAAATCTCTGGGATAATTAGAAGACCTTATGGGCTACTACAAAGTTTTTTAGTTCCCACCTCTACAGGTACATGTAGATTTGCAAAGTGGTAAACCCCTCTCCTCCCCTCCCCTTCCACCAAGACTTTCAATATTATTACAGTCAAACCCTGTTAATATGGACACTGGGGGGGCCATAAAAACTGTCGTATTAACAGGGTGTCCACATTACACAGGTTGAATTTAGAGAAAATGTATAGGCTTTCTTTCCCCAGGGACAAGGCAAACTGTCCATAATAATGAGGTGTCCATATTCAGCTGGTGTCCATTTATAGCAGGGTTTGACCGTATAAGTGTTTTGAGGTCGCACGTTTATTAACTGCAAACTTCATCTTAAGTACATAACATTTCAGGTGGTTCAGTGTTAAAATTGGCACAGAATTTTTTCGTCAGTTCTTGGCTATGGAGTTGTTAATAATCAAGATGCACTTTCCTTAACTAAGGATAAAATTGATCCCAACCAAAGATCATATGTAGATGGTACATGTAGATGCAGTAACTAATGATTTAGAGGGGTAGCACACCCACAAAGTTGTTCTTTGCTTACCTGATTCCTGGTTGATTTGGAATTTTGGAAATATTGGTTTTTATGGAGAGGGGAAAACCAGATTTCCCAGAGAAAAACCTCTCAGAGCAAAGGAGAGAACCAATAACAAACCCTACCCACATATGGCATTGATGCAGGGATTTAGACCCAGGCCACATTGGCAGGAGACGAGTGCTCTTACCAATGGCCAATCCCTTGCTCCCCTTGTATCTATATAGGAAATGAGGTAAATGAAGTTGAATGATAAAAGTAAGACATACCAGAGGATGCAAAGAGGGCCCATTACACCCAGTTCCAAAAATGAAATTGACATGACAAGAGGATCCTTAGTTGGCCAGTAACGAGCATCTAGTTTGCCATATTCAATGACCATCCACTTTGGTCCTCGGGCACAGGTACCAACCACCCTGAATTAATAAACAAGAAAACTTTATCAATATTTTAAACTATAATTTACTATTAATGTTACTCTATTGGCTTCATCACAGACAAGCATCACTCAAAAGGCACTCCTTCACAAATGATTCCTCACAATGACGGCAAAATAAAAATGGAGAAAAAACCGGAGGAATAAGGTACATATCCTTAAATTGCCGATATAAAAACAACAAAAATCACACATGTCGAACCATGATCCTTTTCTCGCACTTTCAACGTCCTTAATTTTAATGGTCAAAGATGAGCTTGATGCACAACTTCAGGGAAGTCACATTGGTCAAAGGCAAATAACACAGTTTTAATAAGCTACATCAACCGTCATTTACACGTACTTCCTGGCTCCTTTCAGTGCTTGATCTATTGAATTATCTCTTGTTAGTGGACACTATGCCCGATCCAAATTCCCAAGAGTATTCGCTTACAGGAAGACAAACAGTCACCCAACATCAGCAGGGATAGTGGAACTGAAATTCCAGGAGCATGAAGAAACTGTCTCTTTTGCAGTACTCCCCCACTTCACCACCACCACCCCTAAATCAATATTACTCATCCCACCCCAATACACAAAATTGATCCAGTCCCACCCAGTAATGTGGGTGTGGCTCAGGACATTATACATAGTCTTACATGACGAACAGACCATCAAAAGACACTTCCATGTCTCTAATGACAAAATTATCTTTGTCCATGATAAAATACAAGCAAAAATGATACCAGAAATAAAAAAAGAAATAGGCTATGAGCTTTAGAATAAAAAGCACTTTTAAACTGGTGGAAATTTGGGCTCAATTCCAAACTATAGCACAGAAGAACTCAATCAAACAGTCTACTTTATCTGGGGGATTTGATGACCATACGGGAGACCAGAAGATTTATGGCCTACCCGGGAGACCCCTGGATAATCCCAGAGTTGGTAATTACCAGTATGCACTAGAACAAGAAGGAGCAATTTTCTGGTTCCTTGTTATTTTAGTGCCAAACTTGTTCTGCACCAGTATTCATAGCCTATTTTGGTGAAAAGCATTCTAACAATAGTCTCTCTTATCTCACGTACAATGTAAGTTGTCTTTCAAAACAAACCAAACTAGGACCTCACACAATTTGTTTTTTCAAAGTTTTCTGCTGAACAGGGTATGATTTTAGGGGTATGGGGGGAAGGGAGCTAGTGTCTCAAAGAGGGTATACAATTTCACTGTTGAAGGTCTTGAACAGGGTGTCTTCTTTATGTAAAAAGGAGGGGGACATGGGGTTTTACGGTATTGTGGTATTGAGCTTTTTTTCAAGCGGTATTTAGGTAATTTTGATTTTAATGTGCGGCATTGTGGTATCATCTAGCCCTGCGGTATATGGTTTTTCACCCTCTTGGTTAACGGTATTCGGTAAAAGAAGATACTTCACGGTATTGCGGTACCATTTATTTTCGCTCTCCTGTATAATGCAGGTCAACACAATGTGCAACACGAACAACAGTAAGATAAAGAGGTTAATATTAAAAAGTTAATATTTTAAAAGACTTTAGACTTAATGGTAAACAATTACACAATCTATGACAAAATTGGAAGCGCGTCCAATGACCGAGCTTTTCGATCATTGTACTGATCAAAGATCTTCTCATATGTTCTCGCAATGTCTGAGGTTGATTTCTGGTGCATACATGCTTGAGGTAAACAAACACACGAGATGGATACAGCTTTAAGTAAACGTGACCGATCATAAATGCGGTATTGGTATTTCATCGATTTTTGACACTGTATTTTGGTATTTGCCAATACAGTCGACTCTCTCTTAACGGACACCTCTATAAGACGGACACCTCTGTAAAACAGACACTTGGAGTTGGTCCCTGCCTTTCTTTGCTCCCTCTATTTGACTTTCTGTAAGACGGACAATCTCTCTAAGACAAACAGCTAGTGCAGGTCCCAAAGGTGTCTGTCTTAGAGAGAGTTGACTTTATTTCTAACGGTATTTCGGTATTGGGTACCCTCCGATTTCCCCCCTCAAAAAGGTCTATTGTCTGAAAAATGGGAGCGAAATGAACGAGTTTTGTCACAACCGGGTTCAGGGTTCTGTAAGGCCTCGGCGGCACACCCCCACCGCTGCCTCCTTGAGCCTCGGGGTTCTGAATCTGAGATTTTCTAAAGAAGAGATTTCATTCCTTTTTCTTGGTAGCCCTCTATCCTGCACTTATACCTCAAGTATTGTAATAAACGCGGCGTTTATCCGTGGCCTGGAATTTTTTCGGGAAAATGAGTTTGAATACGCTTTTAGCTTAAGACAATGGCGCCCATCTCTGAGATGAACCTGGTAACATTTCAAATCTCGGAGGCAATTTAGACCCATAAACTAAAAAACTTTGAATACACTACTCAGAACATCAAACTGCCGTTAAGATCACAAGGATAGATCTGATCTTACCCGTCCATCCAGCAGTGGATTATGCAGCCATTAAAGAGCGCCCACCATGCTAAAGCTGAATGTTTACCGCGCGGAAAACCACTCCAAATGAAACAGAATAACACCAATAACACCGGAATCAGGTTGACAGGGTCTTCAATGTCTTTGGTAAAATACTGGGCAATTTCTAAGGCTTTAGTTGAGTTAAAAGACATTTTGAGGGACACCGCTCACCGATAAACTGTTTCAGGAGGTAACGCGCGCTTTTTGACGGGTCACGCTGTGAGCATGCGTGTCAGCGTTCAAGCGTGACAATTGCGTGATGCGAACCAGATTGTTTACAAGCCTCAGCGACGACAACAACAACAACGAGCTTTATTTGCATGACCATACAAGCACATACAGTATTGCAAAGGCTATGTTACCGAGGCAATTACGTTACTTTGATGATAATTTGTCACGAACATCAAAACAAGCTGAAATATATTTTATGAATTGTATATTGATAAAGTAATTAGCAGGGGCACCCAACGAGAACATAGTTCAAAACCACTTAAACATAGCATTGTTGAACGTATTTTAGTATTTAAACGGTAGATATAGGCATATTTTTATCCCCTAAAAATTTTTCATCTGTTCGGATTTCCTAACAAAAAGTCTAGTGGTGCGAAAATTATAGGGATCAAAACCTAACTTTTCGAAAATTTCAGCCAGAACAAAGGCTCAAGAAAACTTTAGGTGTCCATTAATTGAGGTAGTATCTGACACGAACTCAGGTGAAGAAAACAGATGGTAATCAAGCCGTAAAACGTATTGCATATGCGTTATTGCCCAAGCTTTTTCGTTCAATGGCTAAATATTGGTCAAGTTATTTTCTGCGCATTTATGGACCGAGTCGAGGCCAATAAAAACGCAAAAAGTAACGAGGCCAATATCCAGCCATCTTGACCTCACGCTTGGTAAATAAAGTATTTGTTACATGCCCCCAAAAAGAACTTTTTCTTGCGGGACCAACGCGAGAAATCCCGAACTATCTTGCCCGCTCGAGGACTCAGCCACATAATAACTGTGTTCCAACGGTGGGGAATTTTTTCACCAAAGGTCTGCCCGGAGATGGGGAATTTGTCATTTATAAATTTTTCAGTTTCTACCACTTTGAAAGGGAAACTCTGTGTGGTCAGAAGCATATAACCCTGTAGTGCCCCAGTGCATAAGGAAGACTCCGTAGGCCAGGTTGCCAAGTCTTTGAAACTGGGAACCCATGTCATAAGCTCCAGAGAAAACACATCTTTATTCCTCTTACCAATCAAGAGACTTTTATCCTCTCTATCGACTCTCTTGTCCATTAATATACAGAAACCAAACTTGTTGCAAGTTTATTCATTTTCCCTATTTATCGATTTCTATATGTTTACCTATGTATTTTTTGTTGCGTCTGAAAATGTTTGAAAAAACAAGCTCTTCTCGTACTAACAGTAAATAGCCTTAGCTTTTAAGACTCGTCCTTCAGCTGAGTTTTGAATGGTTCAAGCAAGGAGTCTGTCAAGGCCAGGAGACCTGGCTAAAACCGTAGACTACGAGCAGTTTCTCTTTTTCCTTAATTAGCTTATTCGAGCAAAACGCGAAAGACACGCAAATGACCGCGCGCCTGAATGAAGGGGCCCGAAGCAAACCGATGAATAGCGGACCTGATCGTGTTAGACTCGTTTTCCACTCATTTCAAAACAACAACAAAAAAACACATTCATGCGAACACGTAGTACCATTGTACTGAGTGATTTTCTTTCATTGTGTTTCTTCTCATTGAAGTTCTTTTTCTTTCAAGATCTCCTTTAGTGGTCCAGGAAAATCATATCCAAATATCTTGAAGTCGAGCTCGTAAAACTTCCCAAGTTTGTAAATTTCCTCTTTGGTCAGCTTAGAATAGTACTCCAGCAGGTACGGTTTGGAGTGCGATGGATGATACTCTGGAAATGACATTAGGTGATCTACTCCGATTGCCTTCAACAGCATTTGACCTTCCAGCCCCAGATCCTCAAAGTGCCCAATGAAATCATAGTCCACTTCGCATGGACAAATCTGGTCGTACAATCGCCAATGTTTGTTGATAGCTAAGCTTGAACGGTTATAAGAAAGAACATTTCGGATGTAAATAGGGAATTTGTTCTTTTCTACGTCTTCATCTGGCATGCTTGGTTCCCATCTTTTAAACATATCGTTTGAATGTCCCTCGACTTTGTTTTTGAAGGCTGAGAGTACACGAGCAAATGGCTCGCGCACAAACATGGCTTTATAATGTGTGTCAAGGATTCGCTTTCTTTCAGCCGGTGGATGATTTCTAAGCCGTCCCAAATGTCCCCAGTTGTTTCCATCATCATGTACTCTCATAGGGACAATTGTACCGTTGTTTTTAGCTTGAAATAGAACTCGTTTCCAAGTTGTGCAGGAAATTTTAGGAATCCAGCAGAACACAAGCTTTAATTCGTCAATAACAATGAAGTAAGTAAAATCTGCCTCTTCAATAAACTTAGGATTTGCTGGCTTCTTTTCACATTGGTCTCGATGAAGCTGCCTTCTTTGTTGCACTTTGCTATCAAACCATTCTGGTACTGTGGAGGTAAAACAGTACATGAATATACAGTCGACTCCCGATAACTCGAACTTTCAAGGGAAATCGAAAAAAGGTTCGAGTTAGCGGGAGTTCGAGTTATCGAGGGTTCGAGTTACCGTACGAGGGTAAAATTACAGTGAATGCATGTATGACGGAAATCCAGGGGAAATCGATTTTGATTCGAGTTAGCGAGGGTTCGAGTTATCGGGAGTCGACTGTAACAGGAAGATGTAGCTAAACAGTTTGCTCAGAACCCATAAAATAAGGTAAAATATAGGGGTGCTTTCGTTCTTCACTGACTGTCAAGAAACCGATTGGAAATTACATTGCTATTGCGTTTCAGTTTTCCAGTTTTCTGTGACTTTTAATTGTTTTGTCTTCTACGAAAGTTGGAACCTACATGTTTAAAGCTTTGCCTCGCACAGTATATCCAACACACTAACAAAGCAGACGAGTATACTGCTTTAGTAATTACGCCCAAACCTGCTAACATCTAAATAAGGTAAACTTCGTGTAGGATTAGACTCAAAATAATCTCAGTAGCCCAGGTAACATTGGCAAAAAGGGTTAAGGTTTAAGAGCGAATGCACAGAAAAATCGAGCAAACAGTGGCCACAGCTCAAAACCTAACCTACCCTCATTTTAAGTCTGTAATAACGTTTTAATAAGTTTAAAACACTGCTGAGGTTTAAATTTCAAAATGCGGCCAAATTTGGGAATTATTTGGGTTTTCGATTTCAACGGTCCGGGGGCCTAAAATTAGGGACCTTAAGATCCAGGACGGGAGCGAGGACGACGGCCGACCGGAAGTTGTTTTCCCATACGAAGCATGCGCATTAGAGATCTGGTTTGTTTTCATGGTTGCGTGACCCCGTCGTGACTCCGTCGAGGACGGCAAAAACACCAGTTTGACGTTGTGCCCTCTGTGTACTTGATTTTCTTTGGTTTTCTCAGAGATTTAGTCCTGTAAACTCGTAATGAGCTCTGCTCAGTTTGTCTCGACCCCCTCACCGTCATGTTCAAAGGAAACAAGCAACAAAAAGCCAGCGTAAGTAAATATTTTTGTTGGCTCGTTTTATGTTTGTCGTTGGCTTCTGTCGTGCAGATGTTGCAGGTGTGATTTGTCTTTTCCTGTCATTTTTCTGCTTTCAATCGTTGTTTAACGCTTATATAAATACCACTTTCAGAGTCATTCTTTTTTATTGAGTTTCTACTTGCGACTGTCGTACGGAGTTTATATTTTTCGTGTATTCCCCGTGAAAGAGAAAAACAACTCCAAGCGACAAACTTCCCAAGAGTGTTTTTCCTCCCTTTATAGAAATAAGACTACTTCTGTTGTGTTTCTGTGGAGTTTTGACTTGAATTGCTGAATAGCTGTCTCAACCCGGCATTTGTCAAACCTTTCGTTTTCCTCTCCAGTGGCGTGCGTTTATCAAAACTCCGGAAAACATTTCGGGACCGAAATTTTTCTTGTCGGTTTTCTATTGAACAACTGCACTTACTAGTGCCAATATTTTTGTATTAAATATTTTCTTGTATACAACCAACCTCTTCGGCATTTTTTCGTAGCTCGATAGCTCTTTGTCTCTTCCCTTTTCACAACAAAGTTTTAAAATAGGTCTCACTGTTCCTCACACTTGAATATGCTAAAATTACACATCATGCATGTGTTTTTTAACTTCCTACACAGTTCACACATTATATTTATTTCTTAGCATTATATTTGTTTCTTACTACCAGTGAACACCAGTGGGGTTTACCTTTCATCGTAAGGCGTTTCTTTGTTTTCCTCTATTAATATGATAGAGTTTTTGTAGATTGTGTGTTGTTTCTTTCACTACTGTCATTGATAGTTTATTTACTATCCCACATTTCGTATGACAGGATGTTCTGGACAGAGGAACATGATGTCATTTTAGTCAGAGAAATGCTAGCGAACAGCCCCTTTGCTGGCACGGGACAGTTCAAAGAGGTCGGAAGTGGAACGAAATCTCTGAGCGCCTTTTGCAAGTAGAAGCCCCCAAATTTAAGGTTGACCAGAGAGGTGTTAGAGAAAGGTATGGTCTACTTGCCAAAGCATACAGGAGGAAAATTAGAGAGGAGGAAAGAGCAAGTGGGATTAGCACCCCAGAATTGACAGAGGTAGAGCAGATCGTTTGAGTGTTTTCACTCACATGGCCAGCATCTATGCAAATTTCTTGGAACAAAAGAAAGCGTTTGCATAAGAAAGGAGTTCAACTCCCACAGGACTGGTTTAGGACACCAACATGGCCGCCGTGTCATTGCTTTGGGACACCAATATGGATGCCGTGACGTCATGTGAAAACACTCTATAGCAGCCACAACGCCCTTCCTTGAAACCGTCAGGACGAGAAAGTTTATAAAAGACTTAACAGGTGTGCGCGGCGGTTTCCTTTTCTTCCTTCCCTCCCATTGTAGCACTCAAATTCTGACCCTGATATTAATTCTAGTAGTAATTAATCGTTCCAGAGCCTATAGGCACAAGGATACCAGTTTCTTGCAAAATATGCTGTGACATCCGTTTGCTCATCCCCCTTTCTGCCTTTGGCCGCTGATTAGGTTTGGTTCTGTGCTTTGAAATAACTTTAGGAACGAAACATGATTCGTGAGGGGCGTGTCCGGCTAAGGGCAAGTGACTCTCGGTGGTGAAGACATATACAGAGCTTGTCAGTATTTCGTAGCCTGTACCACGTCGCGAAAATAGAACAAGCCAAAGAAAAATAAGACGCCTTTCTTTCCCCAGCCCCCGCAGGTTTTTCGCATTACTTTTTACTGCATAACTGATTCTACCTTTTCGAGCAGGAGCGAACATGGACGCCCTCCACTTCATTTTCGGCACCTGACTAAACGCAAGCGCTGACTTGTGCGCCTATGCTTCGTTTGCACTGAAGTAGCGGTATATAACCACGACAGACTTGCTGCTATCTTTGGTTTGAAACCGCAATGGGCAAGAACAATTTCTTGAAAAGAGCAAACTATTTCCTCCTTAGCAGACTTGGAGAACAACTACTAGGACTTAAGCAATGCCATTGCTTAAGTCTTACTAGACTTGAAAATGCTTTCTCTTTTTCATGATTTACGGCTAAACAGTCCAATTTCATGTAGCTTTTACGCAAAATTAAATACTTAGTTGTTTGCAGAATTGCATTTAACAACAAATTACAGAAATTTAACTAAGTTTAAATCTCATAGATAAGAATTGAACGGAAAGAACTTTTGGGGTAAAAAAGTCAAAAAATGTTTCCTGGAAAATCACTTAATGGACATATATACAATAGCAGAGATATCATGCCTGTAATTTTCCGTTCAATGCACCTTAATGACAAGTCTGACTAATCCACTCTTAACCCATGCCTTAAAACCGCCTTGAACCTTAAAATTTAATCCATTTTCCTTTCATGTGTAGTGCAAATATATCTTCTGAACACTCCGGGGTTGGGGGTAAAATCAGAAGAACAGAACATCCAGTCACTGTACCAGTTTTACAAGTGGGACAGTGTGTTTGCTAATCATCTTAGTTAACATCTTTTAAAATAGGACAAAAGGACACCTGGTCATACAGGAAAATGAATTTACTGTATCCCGAAAGCTTTGGTTTCCCGTGCACTTATTTTTCGCAGGAGACAATCGATAATTGCCTGGTCACGCAATCGGAGGTGAGTAACTAATTAAAAGTCACTGATACCACACCGCTTAGCAAATACACTACGTGCTGCAAAGGATCCAAATTGCGCCAGAATGTTTTGCCATTCGGCCCACTTTTTATCTCAGGTAAGGCACTGCAAAGCTGATTCACTTACGAAGATTCGAGGGAGAATTATTTCTTGATGTTATTCTGATTTCGCAGTCACGGGAAAACAGACCTAGACTCACGTCCACTCGCAGACGCCATGGTACAATCTACAAGATCTCAAGAACAGAAATTACCCATTGAACGGCCTCTCCTTTTGAAGATTGCGTGTATTTCATTAAAAAAGGTACATATTAAAAGAATCTTGTTAGTTTCTCCCTTTTAACGAGCTCAAATCGATGCATAAAACTAAGGTGACGTGCACGTGTCAACTGACCCTGGGGTCAATTAGCGGTTCTTTGGGGCAAAATAACCTCAAAATAATCAATCTATTTTACAAGCGTTCGCGAGAACACCAGACTAACTTTCAGATAACGTTGAAGTACTATATCTCATTAGCTAGTAAGCGGGATTTGGGGTGATTTGGAGAATTCCCCCATATAGAAAATTCGATTTTGGTTTTAGCGGTAAATTGTTGTATTTATAAGCATTATGCAAATTACGTTTCAAAATTCTGCTGTTTCGTCGATATTTTATGGGCGTCTGGAAAAGCGGGAAACCGGAATCCGGAATAGGAACGGGAATAGGAACAGGAACAGGAACAGGAACTGGAACCGGAGAAGGAACCGGAATGGGAAGAAAAACCTATATAAAAACAGGGACAACATTTACTTTAATTGAAGTTAATCTGAATTTAATTCCTGTCCAGATATACGAATGTTAAGGGAGAATACGGAATAGTAACCGGAATAGGAAGGGGAATATAAACAGTGTATAGAAATATGAAATGAAAAAGATATAATCGTGATATAAATAAAAAGCCAGGGAAATAATTATAAGGAAACAAGAAAACACCCCTGAAATGTTAATCTAATAAACCTTTCTTTATCTTTAGCCTATGACACATTAGGGCCATTTATACGAGGAAAAATAAGACCAGTCTTACATAAGACGCGTCTTAAATAAGACGTGAACTGTACCATTTATACGAGCATGTCTTATCTAATACTGAGACGCGTCTTAGCTAAGCCGCGTCTTATTTTGGACGAAATGTGCCGTTTATACGGAAAGTTCGCGTCTTGTTTAGGACGCGTCTTATTTTTCCTCGTATAAATGGCCCTATTGTGTTGACCGTCGCTTGATGGAACGCTTCTGTCTCACACAACGAATCTGAATTCTTCCTCTTTCCTTCCACTGTGCGAATTTGTTGAGTCAGAGGACTGAAAGACAGAAAACATCCACTTCCAGTTTCCATTTTTAATGTCCTGGACGTCAACGTTGTGGTTGCTTATTAAGGTCCCTATTGCACTCGGTTGAGGTAGATGAAGTGCTGGCTGGGATGGGGATGGGGGGGGGGGGGGTGGGGGGAGGAGGCACGTGTTAATACCCTTTTTAAGCTGTGGACTATCTATCTCTGGTTAACTTCCCAATTTAGCACAGTACAATATATCTATGCAGCAAACCTGAGGTGTATGGCAGCCCAATAAACATCTCCGATGGGTGTCTCGTTTACACATGGTCTGACAAATAATATTAACATGTGATAACCTCCTTCCTGCGAGGGACAAAAGGAACCTTATGAGATCTGACAACGGCAACGCCAGCGAAAACGCCACTGAAAAATTGAATTCGGGTCTTAATTCAAACTATTTCTCATTAATTCAAAATTGTCCAGTGTTTTAAAGGTTGGGAAATGAAGCTGGAGACCGCGTCCGAGCTCAGAAAGAGACAATAAAATTTATCGCCTGCTGTTCACGTTCTCAAGAGAACTTAACATTTGACCATTTACGTCGTAGTTGTGCATAGACGGTGAAGAAATTGACAGAAAGCGCGATGCACTCGCAAAGCTGTTGCTTTATTTATTTATATTGCGGCTTTTTCTACCTTCTTGTTGCCGTAATGTAAAGAGATTCGGGGGGAGCATGATACCAGACTAGTTTTGTTATTTTTTGTATAAATTTAATTAGAATTAAAATAATTTAAAGTAAATGATGTCCCTGTTCTTGGATCGGTTCCCCTTTACATTACTGTTCCTGTTCCGTTGCCGTTTCCGGTTCCGGTTCCGGTTCCGGTTCCGGTTCCTGTTCCCATTCCCGTTCCTATTCCGGAATCCGGTTTCCGGCTTTTCCAGACGCCCATATTTTATGCTCTAAATCTAAAAAATGTGCCGTTCAGAAATTGTTAGATATCTGCTTTTTGAGATTTAAGTGGAAGATTGCCGATATATTCGCTCGTTTATGAAAGTCAGCTCATTTCTGTCGCTAGGCTATATATTGCCGTGTTCGGCGGCTAATTTTAGGTCCGCAGACCGTTGAAATTGAAAATCTTAAATAATTCCCAAACTCGGCCGCATTTCAGTAGTGTTATAAACTCATTAAAACCTTATTACAGACTGAAAATGAGGGTAAGTTAGGTTTTGAGCTGTGGCCACGATTTGCCGATTTTGCTCGATTTTTCTGTGCATTCGCTCTTAAGATTCAAAATCGTTTATGGCAACCCACAAGTTACTAGGAAACACCTTGGGCAGATAATTCGCCTAGTTGAAAATCTGGCCTCACTAATTTATTCGTGTAAAATCCTTGAACGTTTCTGAAATGAACCCGTCTTTCTGTGGTTTTCGGAATGAGAAGGCTCTTTTGCGGGTTCTACTCAGTTTGAAATCAGATTCCAAGGCTATGTAGACTGTCGGGACTGAAAAACATCAGTTACTGTATCATTAGCTCAGCCGCTAACACCTTTTAAGTAAAACATCATAAAATCATGAATATGAGAACAGCAAACCTGCGAACTGACATGGTTTTAGTTTACCCATAAAATGGAAATGTTTAACCAAAAATGTTTTAATTAATTATTAATAATATCAATAGTAGTAAATGCTACTAAAGTTTTGTTTCATGTATGCAATAACGAATAAGCAAGATAAACCTTCATAGAGACCGTTCAAGTATTATCAGGTAGGGGGGGTTGCTGGTGGGATTTGATGGGGGACCATGAAAAAATACGTGTTTAAGAGGGGGATCAAAAGAAAAAATGTTGGGTTTAAAAGGGGAGGGCACCCAAAAATTTCTTCAAATTTTGCAGTGACGGCATCTGTAGTAATGCAAACAGCCTAGCAGAATGCCAAAAAGCAGCGTTTCTGACTTTCTAAGAAGAAGAAGGGCTATAGCGTAGGCGGCGAAGCTGGGGGGGGAGGACGGGGGGGGGGGTCCGTAGACCCCCGAACAAAAATTTGGAGTGGTGCTGAAAAACACTTTTAAAGATGTATTTGACAATACTTGTAACATAGGCGACTTCAAATCAGAGCACATTTTCTGCCCTCAGACGACTCAAGACCAAGGACCACGAACAGGGAAATTTTTCATCTGTTCGGATTTCCTAGCTGAAAGTCTAGTGATCCGAAATATATAGGGATGAAAACTTACCTTTTCGAAATTTTCAGTCAGAAAAAAGGCTCCCCCAAAATTCTAGGTGGCCTTTTTAGGGTAAAAAACCATTAAAAATGAGCAATTATACCATTTTTGAGGGGTTCGAAAATCCTAGGAGAGTCAGGCAAGCAAGAAATTTAACAACAAATGTTCCGAAAATTCTAGATCTCAAATCATCTTCAGAACAGATATTTTCCAAAAATCGTCGTTGGGTGCTCCTGCATGAAGCAGGACCGCCTGAACAACTGCACAAATCGATTACGAAAACCCTGGATCACACAATTAAGTAAATCTTATTAACAACTCTCGCCGGATAACTTGATATTCAACTCTCCGCAGGAGGTGTAAAATCTAATTTAAAAACTACCTTAGAGCAAATGGCTTATGGCTACAAACAAGTAGCTGGGAAACATCTAGGGTAAATAACGATTGGCGAAACATTTTATTTTAACCCAGATGAATTCAAGCTATAAGTTTTATAAAGTTTTACGTATTTTGATCTGACTGTGCGGGTTATTGTCTATAGTAGCAAAATCAAAATTAGTTAAAATCTAAATTAGCCACATGGGCGATATATGGTTGTATTTTAACGAGACTAAAGAGACACTCTCTTGTGGATTCTATATACTTCATATTTCTACAGTTGATCTGTTCAAAACTACAGCCCGTATAAGCTGAATATTTCAACAAGTCATAGTATACCTGCCTGGGAACGTTTTTAAAGTAAAAACTCCATATCGCCTCCAACAAGAAAAACACCAAACTTGGGAACGCATGGTTTTAATTTTCCCATATAAAGAAACTTGGTCGACAAAAATGTTTTAATTAATAGAAGCTGTTATTTTAGTTTCGATAAAGAAAATATGAAACTTCTTATGGAAGTATAAAACAATGCAATGGTTACGAATTAAGATGAACCCAAATTTTTGATCGGATCTCATGCAAATCATCATGCAAATACTATTCCCTAAAATTTGCAAGGATCAGCCACGTTGGCCTTTGAACATAAATGACATGAAAAACACCAATTCACAAAAGCAGGAACAACATTAACAGTGGCATGAGTGTAGACGACTATTTTCACGTATGTAGAATATCATCACAAATGTACACATAACACTGGGGGCACACGCGTCAGAATTTTCTGAAATGGTTTTCTCTACGTGAAGTTTTCATGAGTTTTAGATGCCTATCACTGCTCTAAAAACTATCTATCTGCTCGGATGTCTTAGGGGAACTTTATAGCCTCGAATTAGTTGTAGTAGGCTTTTTCGGCTCATCCGAAACTGTTAGCTATCCTGATGGGTCCTGTCGAAGGTTCGAGGTCGCTGAATAGCCGTACTTTCTTTAAAAAAAAATTAGGAGGCGTTTTGTCTATATACCAATAAAAGCACCAGCAGTGTTCTGGTAATAAAACGTGAAAAACACAACCTCCGAAAATCGTACGGAAAGCTAGCAGAAAAACTCCGGATACTACAGCTATATACAGCTTTTAAAATCGCTTACTTTACCTCCACTTTTGGATTCTCCAACTAAAACGATGTTGTCAGACATCCACATAAGTCCTTCATATACGAAGAACAGAACGAGAAGTCCAAAACACAGGTGTTTGCAACGAGCAAGAAACATACGATACATCGCAAGGACACTTGGAAAGGCACGGAAAAAGAGGTTTGGAGTGTTTAAACTGTCGGGCAATCAATCCTACTGCCAATGAATAAATTATTCTTGACGGTTCAATTTACATCGTTGTGTAATGATCGACCTGAATTCGAGGCCAGCCAGTAAGTGCATATTACTGAAACCTGGTGCGGTTACACTAGCCTGAACTTATCCCATGACAAAGCTCCCCTTGGGGAAATGGCTTGGGTTGAGTTCGCTCTGGGTTTTGAACACGCTTTCAAATTGCGGTTACACGCTGACAGAGTTGCCCAAGGGGAAGAAAAAACTTGAACCCGGTTTAAGGTTAACGTCCTTGTAAAACCGTTAATACTGACGTTCAGGACGTTATATAATCGTAAATGTTTCGACCAGTTTAAACTACAAAAACGTCGACTTCATTCGCGCCTAAAAAGGGAAAATTGTCATTCGCCAGTCAAAGTACGGGTCCACAAAACTTCTTAAGGAAAGAATTCTTGACCACTTATGGAAAAAAAAAACGTCCCTATGTTTCAAGGTGCTTTTGAATTTATTAAACGTTCTGATCATTCACAACAGCTGTGTGGTAACCCCCTTTGAGTATGGATTGTTATTAACCCATAGAACTTACCGTGCCTCTGGAACTCCGGTTTAATATGGGGAATTCTTTTCGGTTAAGTTGAAGTATCCATGGGAATTTGCCAGAGGCAATTTCTCCTTTAGCTTGGGAAAATCACACAAGAGTTGCTTTCCTAGCCCCCCATGCGGCCATTCTTGGGGCTTAGTCACGCGTTCCTGGGCGCTGGTAAAATATCTTTTACCCCGGCCAAGATTTAAATGACTCAGTAAATTAATTAAATATAGAAGATCAAGCCAACATTACGGTAGCACTTAACTCGCAGCACTTATTTTTTACACCTGTTAAAAATTTGTATTTTAACTTGCTAATCATAATTATTAATAGCCAACATTCGATATATTGAAATTCAGCATGACAACGAGTCCTAGAGCACGCAAACAAAGAAAATGAATAAACACGTTTATTGCGCCACTACTTGACTAAGATTCCTTTGTGAGACAGAGCAAAATAATAATAATAAAAATAAATAAATTACATGGTAATGATAAGTAATGGTAACAGGACTCAGTGGGGTCCAATTCGGTCTGTAACCTTCCATGTGATTAACCGATTCGTTTAATCACGAGTATGATTAGACCGAATTGGACGACACGATGTTCTGTTACCAATTAATTATAATCATAACTTTCGCAAAATTTGTGATATAATAAGCTATTTTTTAAAATCAAAACACAAGAAATTCGAAACTTTGTTTCGCTAGCAGTGAAAAAAAAAGCCATTTAAGCGCGCGCGTGATGGCGCGCACTGTCCAATTAAGGCTGAAATCAGGGCAGTTGATAGCCAATCAGATTTGACAATTTTGTTATAGTTATGATTATAATAATAATAATAATAGATAGATAGATAGATAGATAGATAGATAGATAGATAGATAGATAGATAGATAGATAGATAGATAGGTAGGTAGGTAGGTAGGTAGGTAGGTAGGTAGGTAGGTAGGTAGGTAGATAGATAGATAGATAGATAGATAGATAGATAGATAGGGCGTTCAATTCAGCTATTTTACTTAGCTCATAACGTACCTTGTGTAACCCCCAAAAAGTTACATAACCATTGTCTTTGATTACTCTTGGGGATGACTGTGATACCCAGGTGATATTGGAAATAGTGGCTATGCAAAACTCTGGTGGATAAACAAGGTCCATTATGCATGATCTATGTGAAGATGATGACTGCTTTTTGTGCGTCGGATACCGGCTTTGCCACTTTGCCGATGCAGAGAAGGCACCAAAAACCCGTTCGAGAATCGCGTAGGATTTTGTTGCATGCTCATTTTCTTAGGAAAAATAAATAAATTCCAACAATGACCTTTTTTTAAATATTTATATTCTTGTTCTTAGACCTTGTCTGAAGAATACCAAAAGTTAGTTCACTTATGTCACTTTAACTATCACTTTACTTTAAACCTTTCGGTGCAAGCCGATAACAGCCCTTTTGAAACACATTATAACACCCACTCAAAATAACTCATTTCAACCTCAGGCCTTTTGGAAAAATATAATAAGTCTTAAAACAATAGACAAACTACAAAGCGAACAGTAAGTTAAAGTTTGAGCCTTCGGGAGTCATGCTGCAATGGTCAGTGGATGCTCAAGTCCGACAGCTATCTCCTTTTTCCCGAGAAATATACAGTGAAAGACCATACTTCTAATACTAAACTAGAAAACGGCGATTATTATTACATCCAAACATGGCACAAGGATCTTTTTTCCCATTACAATCTTATTCTAAGAAAACTTTTAAGAAAAATGTCCCGAAAAGCGCCCGAAAATACAAACGAAATGTGCTCATGCCCCCTGGGCATCCTATAATACTCCTTAAATCGAATTAATTCAATATGGCCGCCGTATCGGTAAAAAGAACTATTGACCTTGATCACGAGCAGAAGGAAGAGGACGCTTGATATATACCCCATTCACACAACTAAAAAATGTTTAATTAAACGAGGTTTTTTTACAAAATGAAAAACAGACTCGGAAAACTGGAACACAGGGTCCTACGCAGGATTGAAATGAAATTGATCATGATTTGTAATTTGCACTAAATTTGCAATCAACTTGAGTCAGTCAGCCGCTTTTATGAAGGAAACAATTTCAAACCGTGTTTAACTGAACAGTTTTTTAACGTGCTTGAGCTTTGGGATGAATGGGGCTATAGTATAACGCGCTATGAAAGAACGATAACGTGGTCTCATTTCAACAAAGTTCGCTCTGGCACATAATTGGCCCCCCTGTGGCAAGGGGAATCGCATGGTCATGTAACAACAAAAAATTTCTCGATCCAAGGGGCAGACCAAAAGGATCGTTGCTATGAGGACGAAATGTACCAAATTCTCTTGCTGTAATACAAATGGACTATACACCGTAACGAGAATATAAACCGTAACACGAAGCCCCACAAAATTTGCGTTAAACTTTTTACAAAATTACCCAAAATTTCTTGTACTTTTGTACTTGTGCATACACAGTGTAACTAATAGGCCCTTTGCAGCTGGTCATTCACACGGTACAAACCGTGAGCAATTTAGGTTTCTGGGAAACTGTCCACCTACCCCTCCCCTAACTCAACGTTAACATTTGCGTCTTACTTGGGGTGAAATGTTGGGTTAGGGGAGGGGTAGGTGGGCAGTTTCCCAGCAACCTAAAATTGATCCCAAAACCGCCACGCTGGAGAGCAAGGGATGCACTGGGACAAGACAAACAAAGGAAAACTACCATTTAAAATGATGTGAGCCCTTGGTCTTTTCCAATTGCGTCTTTTGCTCTCTCTTTTGTACCACGTGAATGACTCGCTGCAATGGGCCTATTGGCTATTGTTACGAAAGGGGCGATAATTTTTACATAAAGGTAGCGACTGTTTACTGATCCACACGGCCACAATGTTCTCAACATATTAGGACGGGGCTGACTGTCACCAGACATTACCCTACAACACTGTCACTACACGTTATGGAATTAACTTACAGCTTCGTAAGATGAAAAACGATGCTTAGGGAAATTAATGAATTACGGTAATTCTGCACGAGGCCTATAGACCGTAAACCACGGCTTGTAAGCCCCCCGCCCCGCGCCAAGGCCCACCTACCAGTAAACGAAAAATACATCCAATTATAAGACACCCCCTACCCCTGGTATACCCGCCCCCCCTCCGAGTGTATTGAAAGGAATTCGAGTTTTTAGGACATTTTGAAGCGTAAATGAAAACCGGTAAATGCAATACGTCTTTTTTTTTATCAGTATTGCTATAAATAAGCCCCTCCTTTTATAACCCCTTTATGAAGATGTAGGATCCCAGGGCATGCAAGCAGCAGTTTACGGTATCACCATAAAAACGGTGGGCCAAATAACGATACCAAATACTGGATATCAGCGATTCTGGGGTTTTCTTGAAACTCCAAAAGTATCAGCTGCTTGGTTGTCGATTCAACACATGCAGCGGCTCCTACTAGCGGAGCAGGGCTTTCATATTCAGGCCAATGGTTGCGACCAGAACGTGAGTTGATACCATGAACAGGAAGCACAACATCTACCTTTCAGAAATTGTTTGCATACTTACACACTAAAAAGCTATAATGGAGAGAACGATACGGATTGTTGTATAATTTGGTAAAAAATGCCGGGATGATCAACTCCAATAAATATCATACTCATTTCGGAAGCAGTTTAAGATGACAATTTCCCGCCCGCGGCAAACGATTATTTATACTGTCAGCGAGGAGACTCTGCTTATTCCCTGGCAGGGAGGGCCAGCATAGTTACTGAATGAGCTGCTATGGAACACATCAAGGGTCATACTGCCTTTAGCTTCTTGTCAAGTTGCTATTTGCTATGCATACTTCACAGCGACGTATATCGATTTCACACTGTCGTATGGCTTCTTGTATAGTATTCACGCACGTTTCAAAACGATATATATCGATCTAATGCTGTTTTACAGCTTCTTCTCAAGTTGCTATGCATACTTTACAGTGACGAATGTCGATTTCACACTGTCGTGTGGCTTCTTGTCAAGTATTCACGCATGTTTCAAAACGATATATATCGATGTAATGCTGTTTTACAGCTTCTCGTCAAGATGATATGCATGCTCCAGAATGATATATTTATTGACGTCATACTGTTTTATGGCTTCTGGTCAAGTTAGTATCATACTGATGGTACCAGTCCACGTGGAAAGGCCTTGCCAGGCCGCAAAGGCTCACGTTCAAAAAGTCAGCAATGTTTCCAAGAAGACCCCGACTGCAAAATAAGGTAATAAAAATAAAAGCTGAGATATTCTTAGTAGATTAGCACTTTCCAACTGCTTTTAGAATTAAAAGAAGTATCGAGAATCCGATAACAGTTTTTAGTAAAATCCAACCAGTGGTCTATTATCAATGCTGCGTTTTGATTGGTTGAGATACTACTAGGCTATATGTTATAGCCTACAAGTAGCGAAAAGCGCCGGCTTTGAAAGCCAAACAATGGCGGATTAATCGCGTTTTGCTAGCTAAAGTTGTTTTGTCTCGATATTTTTGACCAACTAGTTGGATTTTACTAAAACAATTATTCTTCTCGCCTTCATGGCCTCTGAGTCAATAGCCCATTCGGCCCCATGGGCTATTGACTCAGAGCCCATACGAGCTCGAGGAATAATTGTTAAATAACTGTAAAAGAACACAGCAGAAATACAGGAAAGTCAAGGACAAAGCTTGGTTGGACCAATGAAACCTTTTGAAAACTTCGAACACGACTTCTTAAAGATTATTCCAGTTTCTCTCTAAAAGATGGAGTTATAATGCTCGAAACATCTATCTTTGTTTCGTGGCCGTGATTTCGTCTATAAACGACTTGATTGGCCAGTTCGAAGGATAAGTTTTCAAGGTGACTGCTTATTTATGTGGCTGAATCCACGAGCGGGCAAGATGAAGCGAATACTGTGTTCTGATTGGCTACCTGAGCGGGCAAGGTGGGCCTATCTTGCCAGCTCGGGATTTCCCGCATTGGTCCCGCAAGAAGAAAGTTCTCTTTTTGGCCACTTAATAAATCCTTTATTGACCAAGCGTGTTCGGTCAAGGTGGCTGGATATTGGACACGTTCCTTTTTGAGTTTTTATCGTCCTCGACTTCGTCTCGGTCCATAAAAACGCAAAAAAGAACTTGGCCAATATTCAGCCATTTTGATCTCGCGCTTGGTCAACAACGCATGTACCGTATTAACTCATATGAGTGCTTATTAAATTTTTCACACCCCAAATGCGGAGCTTATTCGACGGTGGCGTTTATTTGAAAGTTGGACGCCACAAAGAATTGTTTTAACTACAGTATAATTATTTTTCGCCTTTTGACTTTGATTGTACCGGGGCCGCGGCGCTTATTTTTGTTCCAAAGGCAGCGCTTGATACGGGCGGCGCTTATTCGAGTAAATACGGCATAGTATACCATATCGGGCTCCTGACCATATCTGTATTTCTGTTCTGGCACATAGAGCGACCCGGAATAGTATGAACATGACCAAAAACACCTTCCTTCCTTGTCTGCGCTGGAACAAGGTTAAACCTACCTGAAGGGGGTTTGTGCGACTCCGTGATTGTCCATGAAATGCTGGTATCTTGTCATATTCAGGCGCTCATTAGTGGTCATTCCCAGCCAAAATATCTGGCAAAAAAAGTTGAATATTTCAACAACGGCAAAAAATTGACTTTGTAAGGGTAACACAATTACTGATAAGGTCCAGTTCAAACGTCGATCTTTTCATGTACCGAACCCTAATCCCTTCAACTAAGTACATAAGAAGATCGACGTTTGAATCAATTAAGTGAAAAATATCTCATTTGGGTCGACCCATAGATTAAGATCGAGTGGCCCTCATGGGAATTTCGACTGAGGAGCGACTTGGTTTCAACCGTCGAACTTTTCAAGTGCCGAACCTAATGCATGAATTACTGTTATTTGTTTTCACTGATACAGTAAAACACTGTAGACCATTTTACATGGTAAAAATAAATTAAGATAGATGAATCAAGTTCGGGGTCTGAATCAACCGTCAAGCTTATATCAGTTGGGTCGACCCAAATAGGTATTTTAAGTTCGACGTTTGAACTGGGCCTATACCAACAGTTTACATTGTGGCCCAAAAATAAGGACAAAAACAAATAACTGAAATCAACATAAGTAGGGCAAAAAAACCAACTGGCCGGAGGCAAACCAGTTGGTTATTTACAAGCGTAGCCGAGGAGTTGAACTCGAGACAACCGTGAACAAATCCAGTTAGCGGTCAGGGCGGGACTTGAACTCGGGGACTCCGGATTGCAATTCCCACGCTCTAACCACTCGGCCACGGTGCCTCCTCCTAACTAGCCTGTGCCAGGCTCTCAAAAAGTGGGACGTCGTGAAAATAAAACAGCCAAGTGAAAATAATACGCGCGCGATCTGGGGAAGGGGGCGGTGGCGGGAAAAAATAGCACCGCCTTCTGTCTCGCACCACTTTTTACTGTGCGAATGAACTGCTCTCTTGGAGTCTGGAACAAGCTAACTCCTAACAACAACATGGATAGCATATGAGCTCCTCTGAATAGCACAAAAGAATGCGCAGAGGACAGCACAGAGAATTTCCTACCTGATAACATTGACTGAAAAGGAGGGCACCGACCCACATCACATGAAACAAGGCGTTGAGATAGCCCCAGGATACCCAAGGTGCACAATAGACACTTTGAGTAACAGCATTCCACACTCCTTCATGGTAAGGACCGCACGCTTTAACATAATCTGACACAAATATTAACATAAGTTAGTAGTTTAGAAGGCTACAAGGGAGGAGAGTCGGGGCCCAAACCTTGGACATCACTTTAATTCTCCTCCGGGAAGGCTGGACATTAACATGAGCCCAAAACCCAAAGCGAGCGACTTCACGATAGATCGTTTTCACTCGAGTGGTCAGCAGCTTTACAAATTGCTTGGAATAAAAGAAAGTTTTAACATGTGAAAAGAGTTCAATTCCCACAGAATTTTTTTTGTACACAAACATGGCCGCCGATCTATTGTTTTGTACACAAATATGGCCGCCGTGACGGGATGTGAAAACGATCTATAGGGTTATGCACCGTGTTTTCACGAACTGGTTAACTGGTAGTCCGGGGGAATGTGGTACTTAACAAGGTTTTATTTGCATGGGGAGGCTCCGCCACAAGGTCCAACCCCGTAACCTTTTTCAAACCATTTACGACCAGAAACGAACCCTTTCCCACACCTTCCAATGACAAATGATTCCTCTTTCACATACCTACTAGAAAGCAACGCATCCCCTTTAACTGCTGTATCTGGTCGGTCTTTTTGATACGAATATATATAGCTAAGACAGGCAGTTGTCTTGTCATTTTTAAAGCCATGAGATGTGTATATTCAAAATATGGGAAGTAATAAATGGAAACTCTGCTCTCTTAAGTCGATTCGCCAGATGACATACAACACTCTAAAACACGATGAACCTACTACTCCGAGATGTTATTTTAGTTAACCTTGGATTCCAAATGTGCAGTCACTGTCTCGCCATGCTTATTCCTTTTTCTCAAGCTTAAAAAACGACAAATACATATCGTGCGAATCGACTTAGTCTGGGCGAACTAGCATAGGGCGAATAGACCTTTAGGCGAAACGACCCGATATCGGTGAAACGAGGCGTGAGAGATGAGTGTCTCAATAGAAAGCTTGCTCACAGCCCAGTCGCCACTTTAAAAAAGAGAGAAGGAGACCGGGTCCAGTTAACTCTTGCAAAGACTTCTGGGATTGTTAATAGGGACAGGAAAAAAAATACCGTAAAATTCCGAAAATAACCTCCGGGGCTTATATTTTCAAAGGCCCTTTTTGAGGGGCTTATCTACGGAGGGAAATTTGCGTTTGAAAAAAAATTGGGCTAGCCTTATAGTTGGAAGGAAATTTACCGTTTTTGCTTTGTTTTCCTTAGAATTTGAGGGCAATTTCCAAGTACAAGCCCCCGGGGAGCTTTTATTTGGAGGGACGATTTAATGGAGGGTTTTTTGCGTTACGAGTTTGGGGGACCTATATTTGGAGGGGCCTATACATGGAGGGCCTTATTTTCGGAATTTTACGGTAGGTCAATAGCTGACCGGCGCGTCCCCAGTAACGATCGTAGGAAAAATTGCGGGACACATCTGGGCTCCATTTCCCTTTTCATTTCTAAAAAGGCAAATGATCAGGGATTCCAAGGGCAAGCAGATATAAGGTCAATATCAATACTAAATAAACAAGTTAACGTTTGAAAAATAAAGAAGCCTTGACTTACAGACTGTTCCGCCATAGATGTACCAGAGAATCATAAGAAACAGGAAAAACAAGTACCAAAAGAAGTACACGTGATTTCCGACACCTGTGACAACAACAAAATAGAAAAATAAATTAACTCCCCCCACTACTCGGACGTTCGAGTGAGTGACTTCTCTTCAGATCATCTGATGATCAGATTAAAGATGTTAGAGCAACTTAGTCAGAACAATCATTCACATTTTGCCCAATAAGACAAACTCAAAGAAGAACTACTTGAAAAAAAAAAACAAACAAACAAACAAACAAATTTATGCCCTTTGGCCAAGAGTCTTCTTGTCAAAAATATTGTTGATTAGCCTTCACGGGATGTAGTCGAAGGGCAATGCAAGGGAAGGGGCAGCACGCGAGTTCATGAAGGGCACCTGCGTGAGAGAAAAGGAAGAGAACTCCTCCAAAGATGTCATTGTTTTACATGATGTACCGTAAATCCTCTATTAAGCCCCCATTTTCAGGGGAAGAAAGTTAATAAGTTCCCCCTCTCTTTTATGCCCCCTCCCCTCCCCTAATTATTCTTCACTAATAAATGACAGACTGTATTAATCAATCACGACTGTAAAACTTTGTGTGGACTGATCCGGGGCTGTTTATTCACCAACTGGAAGTTAAGATTTGTTTTTGATCCTCGGCTGCATGACCTCCAAATTCTTGTACTTGAGATTTTTCAATAAATGTATTCTAGTTCTTTATGGAGGATTGATACCATTGTCTTTGCTAAATTAAATAAGCCCCCCAGGGGCTTAATAGAGGATTGAAGGTATATGATCCGATCTTACCGTAACTGCAAAAAAGGGAATTGTCAACCATAGGCATACTACCAAACCTCCCTTCCCTTCTTTCTTGTGCACCTTAATTTTCCCTTTTCCCTCCCCTTCAAAACCTGTCGCGCAGGCAGCATTTATTGTTGGTTAGCTACTATGGTAAGACACCAGTATTCTTCAATGTGTCATCAACCTATCATGTTACGTCACTTGGTGATCACTCCATTCAGATCATCCCGGCAGAAGATACAATAAAAATAATTTTGAGGGTGCAAAAACAAACTGTTACCCACCTACACAATTCTCTACCCATGGACAATGGTGATCAAACTTGGCTACACATCGATCACAAACAGAACAATGCTTTGACCTGATGGGTTTCAGTAGCTGTGGGAGAAATTTATTATCATACTGAAGAAACTATAAAACAACAAGCAGCCTTCGAACAACAACAACAAAAAACAAAGGAGTATGGTTTTCTTAAAAAGATCATGTACTTACAAGACAAGTTGAACAAAACTTATTGAAGTTAAATGAATTCTTTTCAACAAGTTCTATAATGGTCTGCAGAGAGAAAATACAGCAGTGGGTGGCCAGTCCTGCAAAAATACAAATGATTTGTTATTATTATTCATTCAAAATATTTCCCAGCTTCTGATTGGCTAAAAGCACACCCATAATTCCCCATAACCAGCTACTGATGACCAAATTTGGAAGAATTTTGCGATTAATCAACTGATGATGCAGCTTTCTTTCTGGTTAATGCACCATTAACTGAGAAGACCTGGGGATGAGGTTGAGTTGTTTTGGTTGTGCAAACAAAAATGGCAGACATTTCACTCGTTTCAAGAGTAAGAACTAGGCAAAGTAATAGCTAAAAACATGGCAAGAACAGCAAGAAGAAAACTCGAAGGGTGACATCTGCTATTTGGAGAATATTTGCGGAGCTGAACAACCCGCAACATGCACTATTGAAGATGAACTTAACATCGATGGAGGTAAGCACACGTTAGCTATATTTTTAAGCTAGGAATTATTTTGAATGAATAATAAAACAATTATTGAATTCGGCTTCCATATCATATGAAGAATTATGGAGATCTCGGAGGGTGTTATCCTCCTCAATCTCCATAATTCTTCATAAGATACTCAGCCTCATTCATTAATTATTGTTAAATAATTATTTATCAATAAACTGATTATCAAAATAATATTCATTCTGAATTATTGAGCTCACCAAAGGAACATGTTTGAAGCCATCATAAGCCTCTCCACCACAATACAAAATGCAGCCTGTAATCTGGAAAGTTGACACCAAAATTGACATAAAATGATGCCACCACAGATCCTTGACAATGGATCTGTACCTGAGGAAAAAGAAGATAGCAGCTAAGATATCAAGTACAGAAAAAATAAGAAATAAATAATGGGGCTTCAGGGTGGGGAAATGACTTATTGGGTATAAGTTTTAACAGGGTTGCAAATTTTATTGATGAGTGGGAGTCAGTGTTACTTCTGCTTCACAAATTTTGGAGTCATTTTGGGATATTTCGAGTCACGTATCACAACAAAAAAAGCCATTTTCAGACTTTCCTGCACATGGTCCTGCCCTGTATACACTAGCGTGAGGGATGCACGAAGTAACTGTGGTGGTCTGCTGACCTGGAAAGCTCAAATCCATGACAGCAGTGATCGAGTAAACTTTGATCATAATTTAGCCTCTTCCTGTTTTGTCGCGCAGTATAATTCTTTAATTTCGATGATTTAATTAAGGTTTACAACGTTTACAATTAACGTAAATTGTATCTGTTGTGAAAAAGGTAGGGACAAAACTGTGTTTGTTACTGCAAATTTCTGGAGTCAAAGTGGCTCCCTGTTTGTTACTGAAAATTTCTGGAGTCAAAGTGACTCCCTCCATAACCTCAGTGGAGTCATCTGAACAATTTTGGCATAAAATGCGCCAAATTTGGCGTATTTGCGAACCCTGAATTTTAACTTCAATGCTATATGGGTAAGCCTCACTATGGGTACCTGCAGACATTATTTTCATCACACATTTTCCAGCAAATCATTGGTTTTCAACGAAATTGTCATATATCAAGAATTGTTTGGTGTGGTAATGCTACCAACGAGCTCAAGCAACCACGTCAGTGACAGAAATTAGAACATAGAAAAAGGGAAAGGTAAAAACTCTGAATTGTGTAGCACATTTTTTGGCAGTGAGATTCCTTTGCCATCATCGCACAACTTACATGTATGCTAACAAACTTGATCGAAATGGTAATGAATGTGATCTTCGCTTTGATATTAAATTAAGATCATCATTTCATCAATAGCGATGATCGTGACTTTTAGCCAGGCCATAGAGAGTCTCATGGGCGAGTTGGTCGTTGGTTCTCGCCCCTGCTCTGAGACATTTTTTATTCTCCAGGTGTTTCCTATCCTCAAAAAACAACTTCCAAAATCAAGTTATAGTCGACTCCCGATAACTCGAACCCTCGCTAAATCGAACCTCGCGCTTACTCAAACCATAATCAATTTCCCCTGGACTTCCGTCATACATTCACTGTAATTTTACCCTCGGTAACTCGAACCCTCGATAACTCGAACTCCCGCTAACTCGAACCAATTTTCGTTTCCCCTCAGGTCATTTTCTATATAATTTTACCCTCGATGACTCGAACCATGTTTCGAGCCCTTAAAAAGTCGGAAAAAAGCCATCTACGGGTGTCCGAAACATTGAATTTTGGACTTCCTATAGACGAGTTGTAGGAGTATAGTTTACTAGTGGAGGCTGATGTTGACTGTCACAAGCTAACGTGAAGCAGCTTTTCTTCTCAAAACAGTAAAACTCATGCTCTATTTAGGCTATGTTTTGTTACGTTACGTTCTGATTTATAATCTAGAAGTATCTTTTAATTTTCACTTGACGTTTCTACAATTAAATGTGATTAAAATGTTCACTGTGCAGTAAAAACTGTTTTTTACCTTACTCTCGGCTATTTTCTTCGGTATCCTGATAACTCGAACTCCTGATAACTCGAACCTTTTTTCGATTTCCCTTGAAGGTTCGATTTATTCGAAGTCGACTGCATTTTTATTTGGAACAAACACTTTCAAGCAAGTTCTTGTAGGTTTTTCCGGGGTGAACAAATTACATTTTATTTAACATGATTGTAGATTTTTTTGAATCACAACAGATGTGGAGACTGATAGGGTGACATCAAAATCTCTGGGAAAATTAGAAGACCTTATGGGCTACTACAAAGTTTTTTAGTTCCCACCTCTACAGGTACATGTAGATTTGCAAAGTGGTAAACCCCTCTCCTCCCCTCCCCTTCCACCAAGATTTTCAATATTATTAAAGTCAAACCCTGTTAATATGGACACTGAGGGGGCCATAAAAACTGTCGTATTAACAGGGTGTCCACATTACACAGGTTGAATTTAGAGAAAATGTACAGGCTTTCTTTCCCCAGGGACAAGGCAAACTGTCCGTAATAATGAGGTGTCCATGTTCAGCTGGTGTCCATTTATAGCAGGGTTTGACCGTATAAGTCTTTTGAGGTCGCACGTTTATTAACTGCAAACTTCATCTTAAGTAAATAAAATTTCAGGTGGTTCAGTGTTAAAATTGGCACAGAATTTTTTCGTCAGTTCTTGGCTATGGTCAGGAGTTGTTAATAATCAAGATGCACTTTCCTTAACTAAGGATAAAATTGATCCCAACCAAAGATCATATGTAGATGGTACATGTACATGCAGTAACTAATGATTTAGAGGGGTAGCACACTCAGAAAGTTGTTCTTTGCTTACCTGATTCCTGGTTGATTTGAAATTTTGGAAATGTTGGTTTTTATGGAGAGGGGAAAACCAGATTTCCCAGAGAAAAACCTCTCAGAGCAAAGGAGAGAACCAATAACAAACTCTACCCACATAGGGCATTGATGCAGGGATTTAGACCCAGACCACATTGGCAGGAGACGAGTGCTCTTACCAATGGCCAATCCCTTGCTCCCCTTATATCTATATAGGAAATGAGGTAAATGAAGTTGAATGATAAAAGTAAGACATACCAGAGGATGCAAAGAGGGCCCATTACACCCAGTTCCAAAAATGAAATTGACATGACAAGAGGATCCTTATTAGTTGGCCAGTAACGAGCATCTAGTTTGCCATATTCAATGACCATCCACTTTCGTCCTCGGGCACAGGTACCAACCACCCTGAATTAATAAACAAGAAAACTTTATCAATATTTTAAACTATAATTTACTATTAATGTTACTCTATTGGCTTCATCACAGACAAGCATCACTCAAAAGGCACTCCTTCACAAATGATTCCTCACAATAACGGCAAAATAACTATGGAGAAAAAACCCTCCTTAAATTGCCGATATAAAAACAACAAAAATCACACATGTCAAACCATGATCCTTTTCTCGCACTTTCAACGTCCTTAATTTTAATGGTCACAGATGAGCTTGATGCACAACTTCAGGGAAGTCACATTGGTCAAAGGCAAATAACACAGTTTAATAAGCTACATCAACCGTCATTTACACGTACTTCCTGGCTCCTTTCAGTGCTTGATCTATTGAATTATCTCTTGTTAGTGGACACTATGCCCGATCCAAATTCCCAAGAGTATTCGCTTACAGGAAGACAAACAGTCACCCAACATCAGCAGGGATAGTGGAACTGAAATTCCAGAAGCATGAAGAAACTGTCTCTTTTGCAGTACTCCCCCGCTTCACCACCACCACCCCTAAATCAATATTATTCATCCCACCCCAATACACAAAATTGATCCAGTCCCACCCAGTAATGTGGGTGTGGCTCAGGACATTATACATAGTCTTACATGAGGATCAGACCATCAAAAGACAATACCATGTCTCTAATGACAAAATTATCTTTGTCCATGATAAAATACAAGCAAAAATGATACCAGAAATAAAAAAAGAAATAGGCTATGAGCTTTAGAATAAAAAGCACTTTTAAATTGGTGGAAATTTGGGCTCAATTCCAAACTATAGCACAGAAGAACTCAATCAAAAAGTCTACTTTATCCGGGGGATTTGATGACCATACGGGAGACCAGAAGATTTATGGCCTACCCGGGAGACCCCTGGATAATCGCAGAGTTCGTAATTACCCGTATGCACTAGAACAAGAAGGAGCAATTTTCTGGTTCCTTGTTATTTTAGTGCCAAACTTGTTCTGCACCAGTATTCATAGCCTATTTTGGTGAAAAGCATTCCAACAGTAGTCTCTCTTATCTCACGTACAATGTAAGTTGTCTTTCAAAACAAACCAAACTAGGACCTCACACAATTTGTTTTTTCAAAGTTTTCTGCTGAACAGGGTATGATTTTAGGGGGTATGGGGGGAAGGGAGCTAGTGTCTCAAACAGGGTATACAATTTCACTGTTGAGGGTCTTGAACAGGGTGTCTTCTTTATGTAAAAAGGAGGGGGACATGGGTTTTACGGTATTGTGGTATTGAGCTTTTTTCAAGCGGTATTTAGGTAATTTTGATTTTAATGTGCGGTATTGTGGTATCATCTAGCCCTGCGGTATATGGTTTTTCACCCTTGTGGTTAACGGTATTCGATAAAAGAAGATACTTCACGGTATTGCGGTACCATTTATTTTCGCTCTCCTGTATAATGCAGGTCAACACAATGTGCAACACGAACAACAGTAAGATAAAGAGGTTAATATTAAAAAGTTAATATTTTAAAAGACTTTAGACTTAATGGTAAACTCTTAGGAAACAGACTTAACGAGGAAATTTGCTCCAGGTTTATCTTTACAAATCTTCAGCTTTCAGTGGGAAATCACCTTCTTAAGCATTGTGTTGTAACCGTTTCGCAAAGTACCGTTTCGCAAAGTACCATTTCGCAAAGTACCGTTTCGCAAAGTACCATTTCGTTTCGTTTCGTTTGGTTTCGCAAAGTACTGTAAGCCTGTAGTGCCCAGTGCATAAGGAAGACTCCGTAGGCCAGGTTGCTAAGTCTTTGAAAGTGGGAACCCATGTCATAAGCTCCAGAGAAAACACATCTTTATTCCTCTTACCAATCAAGAGACTTTTATCCTCTCTATCGACTCTCTTGTCCATTAATATACAGAAACCAAACTTGTTGCAAGTTTATTCATTTTCCCTATTTATCGATTTCTATATGTTTACCTACATGTATTTTTTGTTACGTCTGAAAATGTTTAAAAAAACAAGCTCTTCTCGTACTAACAGTAAATAGCCTTAGCTTTTAAGACTCGTCCTTCAGCTGAGTTTTGAATAATTCAAGCAAGGAGTCTGTCAAGGCCAGGAGACCTGGCTAAAACCGTAGACTACTAGCAGTTTCTCTTTTTCCTTAATTAGCTTATTCGAGCAAAACGCGAAAGACACGCAAATGACCGCGCGCCTGAATGAAGGGGCCTGAAGCAAAGCGATGAATAGCGGACCTGATCGTGTTAGACTCGTTTTCCACTCATTTCAAAACAACAACAAAAAAACACATTCATACGAACACGTAGTACCATTGTACTGAGTGATTTTCTTTCATTGTGTTTCTTCTCATTGAAGTTCTTTTTCTTTCAAGATCTCCTTTAGTGGTCCAGGAAAATCATATCCAAATATCTTGAAGTCGAGCTCGTAAAACTTCCCAAGTTTGTAAATTTCCTCTTTGGTCAGCTTAGAATAGTACTCCAGCAGGTACGGTTTGGAGTGCGATGGATGATACTCTGGAAATGACATTAGGTGATCTACTCCGATTGCCTTTAACAGCATTTGACCTTCCAGCCCCAGATGCTCAAAGTGCCCAATGAAATCATAGTCCACTTCGCATGGACAAATCTGGTCGTACAATCGCCAATGTTTGTTGATAGCTAAGCTTGAACGGTTATAAGAAAGAACATTTCGGATGTAAATAGGGAATTTGTTCTTTTCTACGTCTTCATCTGGCATGCTTGGTTCCCAACTTTTAAACATATCGTTTGAATGTCCCTCGACTTTGTTTTTGAAGGCTGAGAGTACACGAGCAAATGGCTCGCGCACAAACATGGCTTTATAATGTGTGTCAAGGATTCGCTTTCTTTCAGCCGGTGGGTGATTTCTAAGCCGTCCCAAATGTCCCCAGTTGTTTCCATCATCATGTGCTCTCATAAGGACAATTGTACCGTTGTTTTTAGCTTGAAATAGAACTCGTTTCCAAGTTGTGCAGGAAATTTTAGGAATCCAGCAGAACACAAGCTTTAATTCGTCAATAACAATGAAGTAAGTAAAATCTGCCTCTTCAATAAACTTAGGATTTGCTGGCTTCTTTTCACATTGGTCTCGATGAAGCTGCCTTCTTTGTTGCACTTTGCTATCAAACCATTCTGGTACTGTGGAGGTAAAACAGTACATGAATATACAGTCGACTCCCGATAACTCGAACTTTCAAGGGAAATCGAAAAAAGGTTCGAGTTAGCGGGAGTTCGAGTTATCGAGGGTTCGAGTTACCGAGGGTAAAATTACAGTGAATGTATGACGGAAATCCAGGGGAAATCGATTTTGGTTCGAGTTAGCGAGGGTTCGAGTTATCGGGAGTCGACTGTAACAGGAAGATGTAGCTAAACAGTTTGCTCAGAACCCATAAAATAAGGTAAAATATAGGGGTGCTTTCGTTCTTCACTGACTGTCAAGAAACCGATCGGAAATTACATTGCTATTGCGTTTCAGTTTTTCAGTTTTCTCTGACTTTTAATTGTTTTGTCTTCTACGAAAGTTGGAACCTACATGTTTAAAGCTTTGCCTCGCACAGTATATCCAACATACTAACAAAGCAGACGAGTATACTGCTTTAGTAATTACGCCAAAGCTTGCTAACAGGGTTTAGTAAAATCCAACTAGTGGTCTATTATCAATGCTGCGTTCTGATTGGTTGAGCAACTACAAGGCTATATGTTATAGCCCATTACTAGCGAAAAGCGCCTGCTTTGAAAACCAAAACAATGGCCGCAGAATCGAGTTTTGCTTATGTTGGCCTCTGAGTCAGTAGCCCATTCGGCCTTCGGTTTCATCTAAGCGCCCATTCGGGCTCGAGGAAAATTGTTAATTACTCTTCTGTCGTTACAAGGCGCATATAAATTTGGGACCCAAAAGGGGACGCTTTCCGCTATATTCCTATATGCGTCCCCAAACGGTGGATTTCGCCAGTGGCAATAATGTTGCGTAATTTTTAAGTGCGTGCACGGGAAAATGAACTAGAGGCAATGTCCGAACGGTCGCGCGCAAACGTAGAGATTGAGAGGATCAACGTTTACCTTTGCGCGCAACCTTTCATGCATTCGTACGCCAAGAGAGAAAGTCATTTTCTCTTGCGTACGCTGGTAAAAATTAATAACGCGACAGAGGAAATCTATCCACATGGATGGGGATGAGAAGATTGTCTTATAGCAGGGAGATTATGGGACACATTTAGACCAATTAAACCACTATGAATTTGAAGAAAAGTTTTCGATTATATAAAGGATTAAACTGGGAAAATCGACATCTAAATAAGGTAAACTTCGTGTAGGATTAGATTCAAAATAATCTCAGTAGCCCAGGTAACATTGGCAAAAAGGGCTAAGGTTTAAGATTCAAAATCAGTTTATGGCAACCCACAAGTTACTAGGAAACACCTAGGGCAGATAATTCGCCTAGTTGAAAAGCCTCACTAATTTATTCGTGTAAAATCTTTGAACGTTTCTGAAATGAACCCGTCTTTCTGTGGTTTTCGGAATGAGAAGGCTCTTTTGCGGGTTCTACTCCGTTTGAAATCAGATTCCAAGGCTATGTAGACTGTCGGGATTAAAAAACATCAGTTCCTGTATCATTAGCTCAGCCGCTAACACCTTTTAAGTAAAACATCATAAAATCATGAATATGAGAACAGCAAACCTGCGAACTGACATGGTTTTAGTTTACCCATAAAATGGAAATGTTTAACCAAAAATGTTTTAATTAATTATTAATAATATCAATAGTAATAAATGCTACTAAAGTTTTGTTTCATATATGCAATAACGAATAAGCAAGAAAAACCTTGTTAGAGACCGTTCAAGTATTATCAGGTGGGGGGGGGGGGGGGGGGGGTTGCTGGTGGGATTTGATGGGGGACCATGAAAAAATACTTGTTTAAGAGGGGGATCAAAAGAAAAAATGTTGGGTTTAAAAGGGGAGGGCACCCAAAATTTCTTCAAATTTTGCAGTGACGGCATCTGTAGTAATGCAAACAGCCTAGCAGAATGCCAAAAAGCAGCGTTTCTGACTTTCTAGGAAGAAGAAGGACTATAGCGTAGGCGGCGAAGCTGGGGGTGGGGGACGGGGGGGGAGGGGCCGTAGACCCCCAAACAAAAATTTGGAGTGGTGCTGAAAAACACTTTTAAAGATGTATTTGACAATACTTGTAACATAGGCGACTTGAAATCAGAGCACATTTTCTGCCCTCAGACGACTCAAGACCAAGGACCACGAACAGGGAAATTTTTTCATCTCTTCGGATTTCCTAGCTGAAAGTCTAGTGATCCGAAACATATAGGGATGAAAACTTACCTTTTCGAAAATTTCAGCCTGAAAAAAGGCTCCCCAAAAATTCTAGGTGACCTTTTTAGGGTAAAAAACCATTAAAAATGAGCAATTATACCATTTTTGAGGGGTTCGAAAATCCTAGGAGAGTCAGGCAAGCAAGAAATTTAACAACAAATGTTCCGAAAATTCTAGATCTCAAATCATCTTCAGAACAGATATTTTCCAAAAATCGTCGTTGGGTGCTCCTGCATGAAGCAGGACCGCCTGAACAACTGCACAAATCGATTACGAAAACCCTGGATCACACAATTAAGTAAATCTTATTAACAACTCTCACCGGATAACTTAATATTCAACTCTCCGCAGGAGGTGTAAAATCTAATTTAAAAACTACCTTAGAGCAAATGGCTTATGGCTACAAACAAGTAGCTGGGAAACATCTAGGGTAAATAACGATTAGTTTTGGCGAAACATTTTATTTTAACCCAGATGAATTCAAGCTATAAGTTTTATAACGTTTTACGTATTTTGATCTGACTGTGCGGGTTATTGTTTGTAGTAGCAAAATCAAAATTAGTTAAAATCTAAATTAGCCACATGGGCGATATATGGTTGTATTTTAACGAGACTAAAGAGACACTCTCTTGTGGATTCTATATAATTCATATTTCTGCAGTTTTTTTTTTTTTTTTTTTACAGTTGATCTGTTCAAAACTACAGCCCGTATAAGCTGAATATTTCAATAAGTCATAGTATACCTGCCTGGGAACGTTTTTAAAGTAAAACTCCATATCGCCTCCAACAAGAAAAACACCAAACTTGGGAACGCATGGTTTTATTTTTCCCATATAAAGAAACTTGGTCGACAAAAATGTTTTAATTAATAGAAGCTGTTATTTTAGTTTCGATAAAGAAAATATGAAACTTCTTATGGAAGTATAAAACAATGCAATGGTTACGAATTAAGGTATCAGCCACCCTTCTGGACCGTCCGCGCGCGGATCGCTGTAGCGTTAGTTGTTTTTGTAAAAACCCCTATAAACCATATATTTTTTAAAAGCTTAATAATTCCAGATTATGTATTTCAACTAACAAACACGATTTACTTAAAGGTGTTTCGAAATTGGAACGCTTTGTGTAAAAGTACATGTCTCTATAAATCATGTTCCACTCTCGCCGGAGATAAACGGAAGAAAACAATTAACACCGCATTCGCTTCCCGGGGGGGGTACTGCCATATATGGGTTATATAGGTATGTGCCGCTGTGAAGGGTATGGTTTTCAGGCAGTTTACTCTAGGATAGGGTATATAAATCAGAGCGTTTGGGTCTAGAACAGGGTATCATTTTTCAGGAAACTGATCAGTTGGTTGAAGATTTTATCTAGACAAGGGAAACAGCTACTCTAGGATAGGGGATTTGGGGAGTTTACTCTAGTATAGGATAGCAAAATTCAGCTGAACTAGCTCTGGTATAGGTTAAGGGTCCCAGGGTCCCAGCGGCACATCCCCACCTAGAAATTCCTAAAGTACCCCCCGGGATTCGCTTCTCAACTCGTTCCACTAAAAAACCGTGTCTCAGATTTTTGACAAGTGCGTTTCTTTTTCTTTTATTAGCAAATGAAGTTGGGGAAGGCAATTAGTCAACACTCTCTGTGGAAAAAAAGTTCTAGCTTTAAAATGAAAAGGAGTATTAAAATTCGCAGACACGGTTTTGTAGAAGAGATATATGGCATCACTCTGGCCAAATTTTAGCCAAATTGATTGAAAGGCTGCCGACTTGGACTTCAAAACGTACGAGTCGATCGGCAAAATTTGCGTTCGGAGATAAAATAGAAAATACATTTTTGGCGGCATCCTACCTGGAATGAGATTATAACACCTAACTGTTTATTCTGATTGATATCAGAGAGGGATCAATTTTCTCTAACAATAGGACTTTGACAGGTAACATGTATTAAACGGGAACAAACTTTTTATCAGCTATCAACATCTTCAAGTGAACAGTTTACACTGAGTTTAATTCTCCGTTGGAAAACTTCCACTCTTTTACACCACGAGAAGCACGGTTTAATTCTTTCTCGAGCAAAAGTTTTGCCTCTCCTTCGATCTTTTTTGTATGATCCGCCCAGGCGTTTTTGTTGATCGGCGCCAGGCCAAGGAAACTAAAAAACTTTGAAGCCACCGAATGTCCACCACCGATTGCTCGAAGGCCAAGAACTGAGGCCGGTATATTTCAAACGCTCTGCTCTTCTCGGAAGAATTAAAAACAGAATTTGTCTTGTGCGACGGACAGCTTTCATTCTCGCACTGGATTCTCCAGCTAGAACCAAGTCCATCTTTAGTCGCTACATTTTCCATGACTTGGACTCTTCCCGGGCAAAATCGACAAGATACAGACTCGTCCAGTTTTTCAAGCAGCTTTTCGCTCGATACGATAGCTCGACCGCTTACTGTTTTCCACGTTCCATCAGCAGATGGGGTCGATGAGCTTAATTGGCTTTCTTCATCTGGCTCTTCAAGCTAGCTGGATTTTTTTCGCTTTTCTGAATATCCAACTCCTCGAGTCACTTCTCTTGCTGATAAAATGAGCCTTTGCCGCTCTCTGCCAATTTTGCGGCCCATTCTTTGTCAAACTCGCTCTTCGACTTCTTTTTCGCTCTCGGTTTCGATGACGAAAACGGACGCGACCTTTTCTTTTTTTTTTTTTTTTGGCGGCATTTTCACCGAAGCAAACGCTAAATATCCACGGAGAATACTAAAGGCTATAAACAACGCAAAGACAATTCGCACGTGTTGTGTCGAAGCACGCACTCGGTATCACGTTGCTAGTTCACAGGCAAGTTAATTGATATATGACACGGGTATGACAGATCTTGCAACGATCATATTAAGATAGTTAACGAGAAAAAACTTTTACCCCCGATATCTTTCGACAGAAATAATATTTTCTTCTGATTTTTTTTTTAAAGAAAGCTCTCAAGTATATCTATTTGAAAACGTTCAAATCTCAAATATGGAAAAATGGCAATTTTAAGGGTGGCTGATACCTTAAGATGAACCCAAATTTTTGAACGGATCTCATGCAAATCATCATGCAAATACTATTCCCTAAAATTTGCAAGGATCAGCCACGTTGGCCTTTGAACATAAATGACATGAAAAACACCAATTCACAAAAGCAGGAACAACATTAACAATGGCATGAGTGTAGACGACTATTTTCATCTATGTAGAATATCATCACAAATGTACACATAACACTGGGGGCACACCCGTCAGAATTGTCTGAAATGGTTTTCTCTACGTGAAGTTTTCATGAGTTTTAGATGCCTATCACTGCTCTAAAAACTATCTATCTGCTCGGATGTCTTAGGGGAACTTTATAGCCTCGAATTAGTTGTAGTAGGCTTTTTCGGCTCATCCGAAACTGTTAGCTATCCTGATGGGTCCTGTCGAAGGTTCGAGGTCGCTGAGTAGCCGTACTTTCTTTATAAAAAAATTAGGAGACGTTTTGTCTATATACCAATAAAAGCAACAGCAGTGTTCTGGTAATAAAACGTGAAAAACACAACCTCCGAAAATCGTTCGGAAAGCTAGCAGAAAAACTCCGGATATCTTAGACGAATGGAAAGGTTATCCAGACATTTTTATCCTTTCTCGAGCTTTAGAAATTCAAGGCAATTTTTAGTCCTTCAAACAGTTTTTTTTTTTCAGAAAAACGTCGTCGGGTGTCCCTGACTTAAGTAATGTACTGTATATACAGCTTTTAAAATCGCTTACTTTACCTCCACTTTTGGATTCTCCAACTAAAGCGATGTTGTCAGACATCCACATAAGTCCTTCATATACGAAGAACAGAACGAGAAGTCCAAAACACAGGTGTTTGCAACGAGCAAGAAACATACGATACATCGCAAGGACACTTGGAAAGGCACGGAAAAAGAGGTTTGCTTGTCGGGCAATCAATCCTACCGCCAATGAATAAATTATTCTTGACGGTTCAATTTACATCGTTGTGTAATGATCGACCTGAATTCGAGGCCAGCCAGTAAGTGCATATTACTGAAACCTGGTGCGGTTACACTAGCCTGAACTTATCCCATGACAAAGCTCCCCTTGGGGAAATGGCTTGGGTTGAGTTCGCTCTGGGTTTTGAACACGCTTTCAAATTGCGGTTACACGCTGACAGAGTTGCCCAAGGGGAAGAAAAAACTTGAACCCGGTTTAAGGTTAACGTCCTTGTAAAACCGTTAATACTGACGTTCAGGACGTTATATAATCGTAAATGTTTCGACCAGTTTAAACTACAAAAACGTCGACTTCATTCGCGCCTAAAAAGGGAAAATTGTCGTTCGCCAGTCAAAGAACGGGTCCACAAAACTTCTTAAGGAAAGAATTCTTGACCACTAATGGGAAAAAAAAACGTCCCTATGTTTCAAGGTGCTTTTGAATTTATTAAACGTTCTGATCATTCACAACAGCTGTGTGGTAACCCCCTTTGAGTATGGATTGTTATTAACCCATAGAACTTACCGTGCCTCTGGAACTCCGGTTTAATATGGGGAATTCTTTTCGGTTAAGTTGAAGTATCCATGGGAATTTGCCAGAGGCAATTTCACCTTTAGCTTGGGAAAATCACACAAGAGTTGCTTTCCTAGCCCCCCATGCGGCCATTCTTGGGGCTTAGTCACGCGTTCCTGGGCGCTGGTAAAATATCTTTTACTCCGGCCAAGATTTAAATGACTCAGTAAATTACGGGTGTGTTCCTTTCGGTGAATCCAAAAGCGGATTTTAGATCTAAGAAGGGATTTCGCGTTCCTTTCGGCAAATCCAAATCCGGATTTTTGATCTGGTGAATTCTTTTTGAAAAAGGATTCATTGGATTTGAAATCCGAAGAATCCAAATCCAGATTAACGGATTAGTGATCTACACTGTTCCATTCACAGTGGATCCGAAATTAGTCAGATGATCCAGCGGTATTTCCAGTTGAAGTATTTTCATAGAGGCCGTAGAGTTTCCTCGTTGCTGTCATTTGCCGCAAAACATCTGAACACACTAGAAGATTGTTTCTGGTACATTAAAATATCCATATACTAACCATTTGTCTCTAAAGATTGCTTGAAATCAAAAATAAGTAAAAGTAACAAATGGACTGCTATCTAACTACAAACTCGCTTGTAGACGCGACAGGCACTCGATCGTGTTACATAAAAAAAACAGAGCTATGGAACTGGATCAAATTGGCCGACATTCTTTAGATAATTTTGAATTTTAATGCGCTTCTTTCTTTGTCTGTTTTATATGTTCCATCGTCGCTATTCGAACTGCCGACCACTAAATTCTGCACGGTATAATCGCAGAATTTGTCAAAGAGTAGAAAACACGTCACTTTTTGAGGGGCTGTCGTGCATATTGCATGCGTTGGCGAAAGGTTACCAGGGTTACAAATCCAATTTCGGATTTCACGTTCCTTTCGACCGCGAAATCTGGCAAATCTAGGATCAAAAATCCGTTTTTGGATTCGCCGAAAGGAACACACCCTAATTAAATATAGAAGATCAAGCCAACATTACGGTAGCACTTAACTCGCAGCACTTATTTTTTACACCTGTTAAAAATTTGTATTTTAACTTGCTAATCATAATTATTAATAGCCAACATTCGATATATTGAAATTCAGCATGACAACGAGTCCTAGAGCACGCAAACAAAGAAAATGAATAAACACGTTTATTGCGCCACTACTTGACTAAGATTCCTTTGTGAGACAGAGCAAAATAATAATAATAAAAATAAATAAATTACATGGTAATGATAAATGTATTTACATTCGGCGGAGCTAAACGTAGTGGCAGTGACAGAGAATGTAAATACTTTCCTATTGGTATGAACGCACGTGAGCCGCTATGGCGTTAATTGACTCTATTGTTGTAAGGTATATAAGGTTTTGACAGTTGTTATGTATTCATCTCAGCTCTCGAACTATCAAATTTTAAAATGCCGTCCGATGATGATCTCGCGAAGCATTTCCGAGCTCAAAGACAAGTTTCGATCTGGTTTATCTTCTTTAAAGAGAGAACTTGCACAAGGACACGACGCTGCGCTGAAGAAGCTCAAGACAGCTACTGCTAATGTTCCGAAGTTTTAAAAGAAAGGCAACGAGAAGCAGTTCCTACTTAATTCTGAAGTTCTTGAACACGTCCAGTCTGCTTCGACCGCCCTTCAGGAGTCTTCGCCTCAAGCTGAAAAGGCCTTCGAAGAGTTAAAGGAAAGTTCCAATTTTTCGAACCCTTTTGTTGCCGTCAATTGGCCTAAGGCTCACCGTGGTTCGCGTGTTGGCAGTGTTGGCAGTTTTGGCAGTTTCGGCCTTTTCAGGAATCAGTGCCCCGCCCTTCAGGCGTAGTTTTCACCTAGCCAACCTGGGAAACGTACGTGATGGACTCGGATGTTGGTGCACTCGTCGAGGACACAGATAAGTTAAAGAATTTTGTTGAAGATGATTTTGACTTTTTTTGAATATGAACAGGGTCGTAGTTCTACTATCGTTGTAGCCGGTAGGCTAAAATCCCATATCATTGTTCAGTTTTGGCGTTCTATAGGCGCCAGTCAATTTATTCTAGATGTTATCGAGCATGGTTATCGTATTCCTTTCCACTCTAGTTATAATAAGTCAGCTTTGACGCATTCTGATTTTGTTAACGAAGCTGTTTCCTAATTGTTGGTTACCAATCGCATTTTTGGATCGGAGGTCCTGCTACATAACGTCAACCCTCTTTCCGTTTCTGTTCAATCATCTGGGAGGAAGAGGTTGATCTTGGACCTTAGGTTTGTAAATAAGCATGTCTGGAAGCCAAAGGTCAAGTTTGAGGTTCTTAAGGTGGCTCTCAATTATTTTGACAAGGGTCATTTCATGTTTTCATTTGACATTAAGAGGGGTTATCATCATGTCCTTATCTTCCCGCCCCACCAGACATTTTTGGGTTTTTCCTGGTTTTACCAGGGTAAGGTCCGTTAGTTTTGTTTCAGGGTCCTGCCCTTCGGCCTCTGTTCAATCCCTTTTGTTTACACAAAAGGTGGGTTGGTATTCACATTGTCGTTTATATTTATGATGGTTTAGGGGAGGGGCCTTCATATCCGGTTGCTTTAGACCATTCCACCAGGGTTAAGACTGATTTGATTCGTTCTGGCTTTGTACCCTACCTCGAGAAATCTGTTTGGGTTCCTACATCAGCCCTTGATTGTTTGGGTTTCCCCATTGATCTTTTTCAGGGTTTCCTTTTTGTTCAGGGGATAAAACTTAAACGGGTTCTTTCTGATATTGATTCCCTTTTAGAGGCTAATTGTTGCACTGCCAGGGAACTGTCCGTTCTTGCTGGTCGTATTAATTCCTTTAACTAGCTGTAGGTAATGTTACAACCGTTGATGACAAAGGTTATTCATATGTCCATCGTCCTTCAGTCTAGTTGGGACTCTAGGTTTCCTTTGTCCGATTCTGTCAAAGAAGTTTTTTTTTTTTTTCTGGAAAGAGAACGTTCGGTGTTTGAATGGTAGGCCCACTGGGCGTCACTTTTCATGTTCTCGTTCCATTGTTTATTCAGATGCTAGTGATCTAGGGGTTGGCGGTGTTGTTAAGACCACGAGGGTGTTATTTGTCATCGTCCGTGGACTGCTAATGAAATGTTTCCCAGCTATATTTGTCTCTCTAGTTTTTCCGTAGTTTTGTCAGGGTGCGCGATTTAATGGTTTACGGATAACCGCTACATTCCGTCCATTATTCGCAACGGGAGTATGAAGCGGGGTTTACACGAACTTTCCGTCTCTATTTTTCAGCTAGTTTTGCGAAATGGTATTGATTTGCAGGTGGACTGGATTCCTAGGTCTCTCAATGGGCACGTGGATGCCATCAGCAGGATCGTTGACTTTGATGGTTGGGGTGTTTCGTTTGAATTTTTTCGCCTTGTAGACAACATTTGGGGTCCACTTCCGTAGATCGTTTTGCCCATTCTAATACCGCAAATTGCCCAGATTCTTTTCTCGTTTCTGGTATCCTGACTTGGAGGGGGTGGATGCCTTTTGTTTTGACAGGGCGGGGGAGAATAACTAGCTCGTTTCCCCAGTGTCCCTTGTTCCCAGGGTTATTAGGCATTTGTTTGTATGTCGGTCCATGGGCGCTATTATTGTCCCCAAGTGGGTCTAGCTCGTTTCCCCAGTGTCCCTTGTTCCCAGGGTTATTAGGCATTTGTTTGTATGTCGGTCCATGGGCGCTATTATTGTCCCCAAGTGGGTCTCAGCTCCATTTTGGCCCATGCTCTTTGGTCCCCATTCCCCCTTTTTCCTTTTGCGTTAAAGAGACCATTGTTTTTTACCAATGTTTCTAATATTTTTGTTCCGGGCTCCACAGAGTCTATTTTTTATGGCCCTAACTTTAGTCTCATGTATTAGCCGTCCGTTTGTCGGCTTGTTAGATTTGTGCTTCTAGGCTTAGTTTCTTTTCCGCAGTTACGTGTAGTTATTGTTTAGCCTATATTTAGTGTGGTTTATTATTTTTGAGTGATTTGTTCTGTTTTTTTCTTTTGCCTCGGTGGCATTTACGCGGGTCTCGGTGACCTTGTTTGTACCTTCACTGATCCCGACGGGTCGTACCGTTACATTCTTGCGTGACCTCGGTCAGT